TTAATTGGCATTTTTCTCGGAATTTCAGAGCATGTGCCACGTGCCACTTTTGCCACGTGCCATTGCCACGTGCACCACGCACGTGTACATTTCTTAGAAAAATTAATTATCTATCGTCTTCGAGTGCGACCGATCCCGCAGACAGCTAGCCGGAGCGCAGGGCAAGCAAGCTCGCCCCCGCCCGGGTTCTCACCTCTCCCGAGCGGAGTGGCCCTCGGTGTTTTGGTGAGCACCACCACTCCCGGGCGGATTGGTTACCCCCGGTGCTACGATGGTGTTTTTCATGCCGAGACACTCATGGTGTTCGACGAATACGGCCACAGGTTTCCCCGTGCACGTAGGGCTTCGAGGCATGGAAACTCGCCATGCCTGCTGCTTTTGACCAGTCGTCCCCGAAAACCCCGCTAAATTCATTAAATCTTATGTTTATCTTTAAATTTTCATTCCATGCTCTGAAATGTCTCAATTGGCCAGTTCTATCCGTAACAAATAAAATTTTCACTTCTAAGGAATACTATTATTTTTATTATATTTATCGAAATGGGACCCTTAAGAAGTAGTAATAAAAAAAGAATCTTGAAGACAGAGTCTGAATATGAAGACAATACAGATCAAAATGATTCAAAGAAATAAAGAGAAAAAATGTCGGAACAACTGAAATATTATCCGTTTCATTAACAATTACAATAATTTAATCATTTTGAAAATGTGGCAAATGCACTTGGGTATAACAAAACCTTTATTTCTTTTAGCTAACATTTCAAACATTATTGGGTTATAAACATGCATTATCTACCACTACAAAATACAATAAATCTGTCTATTCATGGTAACCAATATTTTTAAATATATTGAAACGCAACTGCATAAATATCTCACAATAACAAAAAATGGAATTGTCCTACTTTCAAAATAAACGGCTAAATATGAGAAAGAGTCCACACCACTCCTTAACTATCGATTGGCAAGATTTCACATTTAGAAATTAAGAAATTTTTAGATTTTTTTACATACTTTCAAAGTAAAACACCAAAATTATAATTTTTCTAATTTGGGATTTCAAAAATTTGAACATGTTAATATTTGGCAATTTGAAAATTTACAAATTGCAAAATTTAGAAATTTGAGATTTGGAAATTGAATAATTAAAAATTTGGAAAATATAAAATTAACAAATTTAGAAATGTACGAAATTGAACAAATTTTAGAATTTAGAAAATCGAAAATTTAAACATTCGGAATCTTAAAAATTTATTTTGGTGCAAACTGGAAAATTTTTTAATTTAGCAATTTGGAATTTGAAGATTTTTTAATTTGGAAACTTATTTTGGAAATTTAAAAAAATAAGACGAAGATAGTTGTGGTAAGCAAATTTCGAGTTCCCCAACCAAAAATTGAAAGAGCAAAAGCTGTCTTAAAATCGAGAAAAGTTTCACTTCGAATATTTACAAATAAATCATTATCATTTCAGATTAATTACTACACAGGAGTGGAAGGAGAGACTATACCTTTAAAGTTAAATAACTGCACGAAAATCTGTCCGATGAAAATATTTTTAGATTCAATATTCGATCTGTTGCCACAAAATGAGCATACATTATGTCATTGGAAGAAGATCGAATTTGCAGATCAACATAATTTTGTAATAATTGATAGTGCGATGTATAGTAGTACTACATCGTATAAATTAAAAAGTATTATGATTAGTTTGTTACTAATAGTTACTTTATTTATATTTTAATCAATTCTATCAACTGTTAGATTAATCTAATTAATTTTTAAACATTTTTAAAAGAAAAATTCAAAAACGACCCTTTGTGATCGCATTAAAAATGTATGTATATATTTAAATTTTACACACTAGTCTTGTAAAATATACATTTCACTAATTGAAATTTCAATAATTTTTATAACAATTCAAGGTTAGTATAAGTACACAAAAAGGTGCTATAACATATTAAGAAAACTTGTGTACATTTCTACTTAAGGATAAATTGAGCATAAACAGAAAAAAAATATCTCATCACTTATTTTTGATCTTTCGAAAACTCAGGAAGAAACTGGAGCAAGTCTGTTATACATATTAATAATAGACGTATATCAATGGAGAATTTAGAAATTTAAAAATCCGGAAATTCGAAAAATTTTGAATTTGAAAATTTGAGAATTTCAGGATTTGGGAATATGAGGATTCAATATATAGAAATATATAAATTAAAAAAATAAAAAATTTTTTATTTAGAAATTTGAATATTTGTGATTTTGTAAATTTGGAAATTGAGTTACTCCAACATATGAGAATATGAAAGGTTTGACATTTGAAATTTAAAAAATTACAAATTTGGGAATGTTAGAACTTGAAAATTTGAAAAATCTGTCAATTTTGGAATTTAAGAATTCAGCAATATGTTAACTTCGGAATTTAGTAATTTGAATTTTTAAATTTCGAATTAATCTATTTGAAAATTTTTATTAATATCTATTAACAATTCGGAAATATTGAAAATATTAATTGTCTTCAAGCACACGTTATCTTCACATACTGGCTAACGATAAGTCGTACTTACATGATGATGCGATGGAAGGAGAACGAAAATAATATTATATATGTATGTCTATGTATAGTATACATTTTAGAGATGTATTATATGATCGTTTATTTATTATAATGTACAAAGAGTAGATAAAAGAATATTCTGTGCGCGATGTATTAAAATTTTACATAATATTGTAAATATACCATTGTGATTAAAAGTTACGTTACTTATCTACGTGTAATTAAATTGATTAACATCTGCAACTTGTCCACAAATAGACTACAATTTTCCACGGAAATCACCATGAAATCATTTAAAACTATTAACCATCTCCGTTCTCTAATTTCTGCCTTATCCTCTATTATTACATCTTCGCATGTTAATTGTTTTTTCCATAAATCAGTAATAGAGAGTACCGTTTCCTCCACAAACTGACTGTGCTCTTCATTCAGAAATATCAGCCAATATTTTTGTAAACAAATATTCAAAGCATACAATAGAATATGTAATTGGTTAATTGTATCATACACATCAGCTTTGTTGCTTTTCGTCAGACCAATTAAAATACTTTCGTAAGATTTTAGTTTGTCGATTAAATAATTAATTGTTTCAGTGCAAATTTTTGCAGAATTGCATAACTCTAAGATAATGGATACGTGATAGGTGAGTATTGTAACCTAGATACAAGAAAATAATTTTTAACAAGAATTATAATGTAATTTAAGATAATTATAATGTAATATGTAAATTTATTTACTAACTATAAATAAATATAAACAAAATATTTATTTACTAGCTATAATTTATTTACTAACTATGAAACATTTTAAAGCGTTGAGAAATTAAACAGTCAATTTGCGGAATAATTCCCAGGAAATTAACTTCTGAAGAAATTAAAAAGTTTAAACACGATTAAAACCTAAAAAAACCAGTTCATCATATCATATTTTTATCTACCAGTTCTATGACAAAAATTGATATTATAAAATTTATAACTCAGTAAGTTCACTACAAAAAGGGCTCTATAAAGTTTTTTAGTAGAAATAACCGTTTTTGAAATATCATATTTTACAACTAAAAATGATTAATTTCGAAGATTGAGGATGGATTACTAAAGTTGAAGCACGTATTGAACATAAATAAAAATATTTTTTGTGAATGAAACAAAGATAAATAATAATTATTAGTTATATACAGGGTGTCCACGCCTAACAAGTGTGTCCCCCATGTTCAACTGATGAGGGAGCTTGTCGGAGGGAGAGAGTTTTAGTGGGTAGGCGCTGAAACTGTCCATACTAGGTGGGCGCCGTAGGTGAGATTCTCACACTACCTGGACTATCTTTCCAGGTGTTCATCAAGGATTTCTCTCTTCCATAAAACAAAAAAAAACGCCTAAGTGTGACAGTGCGATATTTCACGAACTATTGATGACACGAAAAAGTGCTTATATGAAAATTGCAGGATAAAAGGGCTCTATGTTTTGGTGTAAAGAAAATTTTCTTAATGTCATTAATATAAAAGATATGACGGTAAAATTTCGTTTTTTAAATGGAACTATATATTTTATTTCGATCACGCGATAGTGCTTTCCAAAATGAATTTATTAAGATTTAATGTATTTACACGATTTTTATTAGTTTTCAAGATATAACACCTAGACATTTACTGATTTTTATCAGAGACGTCTCAATTTGAGTAGTAAGTCATAAAAACGGTCTTATCGTTGCGGCAAGTGCCGCATATTTGACTCTGCCTGCCGAAACCTATTGCCGGGAGTCTACGGTCCCAGTGGTAAGTCCGAAGAGTAAAAACGTGGAAAGAATTATCCATTACGGTCTAAGTTTTCCGCATCGAGGATGATGAACAATTCTTATATATATATGATAAGGCATAATCTTACATCAAATTATCTTTTATTGCAATTTATTTGAAAATTTGATGATGCAAAACTGCAACGCACTTTATACTAATGGCGCTGATTTAGTTCGAGAAAAAAGAAATCAATATAACGTTGTGTGTTAGAATACTAGTACATACTTACTTGATATACTAGTACCTGATGTACTTATTCATGTCATGTTTTAAAAGAGACCTTCCAAAAGTTATGCGCAATCATAAACACTATCAAGCCAACAAAAAATCTTCAAAATGAGAAATAACCATAATTTTTTTTGTATTTAAAAGAACATCACGGAATAATCCTAAAGGTAATATCACGTTAAAAATAGCGCTCAATAATACGGTTCAAAAATCATGATTAATGTCAAAAGTATGAAAATTGGAACCATCAATACATACATGTATGTATAAATGGTTATTCCTAGAAAAAACATTCATACGACCACTTTTATAAATAACTTCCAAAGCTTTATAACTATTTTTGTCATAAAATTGATGAATAATAAAACATTCACAAAAAACGATTTTTGTAACATTCAATCAAAGGTTTAAGAGGAATCACATCGAGGAGGACTTCTGACAAACTATTTAAAACGCTGAAATAACAACTCAAACAAAAATACAGCGTAGTAAGAATTATTCTGCGAAAATATCCTACTTTCCCTAAACTGATAATATTCTTTTTAATAAGTTCATAAATTCACCTGATTCAATTCAGTATTTTCTATACTTTTATTTAGCGTGTTTGTTACCGCCTGTATTATTTCTTGTGTGCACGCAGTTGTCTTATTTTCAGCTTCAAAAACTTCACAGAAACTTAATACTGCATCTACTGCCTGTTCCTCCAAAGTGTTCTTCCAACATTTCTTTTTCATATACTGCTTAGCTATTTTTTCATTTTGCAAAACTGAAAGAATCACCGTCACCGATTGAAAAGCTACATCATCGGCATGTAAAGCATTCAACGTAAATCTCAACCACTCGGAAGAAATCTTTTTTTCTTCTTTTTCTTTTAAATCTCTCTCAAGAAATCTCTTTTTCGTCTCTGGTATTTCTCCTTCCATTTCATGCGTAACTTGCAATCTTTTTTTCTTATTGTTACCTGATTCATGTTCTTTGTCTTCGCTTATATCTATTTCCTTTTGTGAATATTCATTCTCTGAGCACGATAGCATATCTTGATTTCCAGCGCAATGGGATTTAATCTGATTTATATTTTCATCATTTCTATAATGACCAGATAAGTTATATTCGCCAGAAATCCAGTCTCTATCAATCACGTTTGTAGTAATATTTTCCAAATCATCCGTATTGTGCACGCTATTGTCTTTTCGATAAGGAGTAATAACGGCGATCTCCTGATTAAATAAAATATTACTATCTTCGTTTTGAAGAATATCATTTAAGGGAGTACATTCCGCGTGCAGCTGACACGTGTCATAAGCACTGTCTTTTTGGAGGGAATTAATAATATCATTATCAATCTGATTCAAAGAAAGAGAATAATTTTTATTATGTAAATTTGAATCAGACACTTGTGACTGTTGTATATTTATTTGTTTACATGACTCGAAAACACATTCGTGATCATTACCACATAAGCAATCGGAATCTTGTCTTTGAAAAGAACATTCTCCATCAAATATGGTGGAATCAGATGTCAAAGAAGAATTATTTTCATTGGAAGCGACAACAAGGTTATGTTCCGGTTCTAGGAACTCCTTTTGCAAATTTATATTGTTCTGCGACAGCAATGAAAGTTCTTCTATTGAGTTATCAACAATAAGATTAATTTTGTGCAACTTTTGATCTTTATTCCACGTTGAGTTATTATTAACTTTATTATCTACAGAATCACTAAACATGTCTGAAATCGATGAATGTGTTTCATCCGAATCTGCAATTATGCGACATTTCAAAATTGGTTCGTTCCGTGTAAAGTTTTGAGTATTCAAGGATTTTTCAGAATTTGAGGGAGAGTAAAAGGTTGAAGAACTGTTTCCAATGGAAACTCTGTCATCTGATTTTGATTGTTGTCGATGGCCAGATTGTGACAAATCAAGTATTTCTGTTGATTTTACATTGGATAATAAATCGATGTTGTTGTGGTACTCTGAATCACTGTCAGAAGCTCCACTGTTTTCTTGATCATCTGTTCCAGCAGTTATTATTTGGTGCTCAGAATCCTCTCCTACAAATGATTTGCTACAATTTTGAGTATAACATTAGTTGTAATCAAACTTTAATTCAACATTGAGCTGTAACGAGTTAACCGATTTCATATCGATAAACCACTCATTCTCAAAGTGTAAATACACTACTTAATCAAAATTATAACGTTGTTCATCTTTATTTAGTTTACTATTATGGATATACTATTGCTTCTCCCAGTTCCAATATTATAGAAGGATATAACAACAATATTATCAGAAAAATATCGCACTTTTTACTATTATGGATGTAAGTACTATTGCTTTTCCCAGTTGCAATGTTATAGAAGGATATAACAACAATATTATCAGAAAAATATCGCACTTTTTATATATACAATAAATTATTGCTTTTTTGAGGGTAATTGGTTCCTAGGTTTGTACAGAAAAATAAGTTTATACAAGACCGTTCCTGCAGTTGGTTATCTTGATGCGAAACCAACACTGAAGCTCATTTAACTTTTATCCATTATTTAATTAAGAATTTAAAATACAATATTTATTTCTCTATTCCTACATAGATGAAAAACGTCGATATATATACATAGTTTCAAATAGTTATTATGCAAAAGAAACATTTTTTAATTTTTATTTTCATACGATAAGACGAAGTTTTCTAAGATGGAAATTTGACATGAATATTTTATTTCACGTATACTTATTATAAGGACAACTATTAGTATTAAATATAATGAAGGCAAAATAGATTGTTTTCGTACATAGCTGTATTGTAAGTTGGATAAAAATTGAAATTAAATTTTACCTTAGCGTTATAACAACTAAATATTTTAAATATATTTATAGTCTCCTGGCATATAACAAATTTTATCGCCTATACGAAAATTAGAGGTTAAAATGATGTTTCCTACCCACTTAACACATTAAGGACCGCAAAGAAATCTGTATGACATACGCCTGGGACCGCACGTTTTTAGGCAAACTTGTACGTTCTAAAATCATCATAACTTTGTTATTTATGAAGCAATTTTTGTGAAACTTTCAGAAATTGTACAATAAGATGCATTTTAGGTATTATTAAAAAAAATTATGTTTTTTAATAATTATTATAACTTTTTTACTTAAAAAATTAATTTGTACGAAATTTTCAGAAATTGTAAAATAGGATGCACTTTACGTATTATTAAAAAAAATTGTCTTATAATAATTATTAAAAAATTTTATTTAAAAATAAATTTCACCGAAGTTTCTAGTACTTTTTTAAAGTATGATATTGTGTAAAACATCAGTAACAGACGGAACGCGAAACACGAGAAAACTCATGAGCGGTCCTTAATGTGTCAAGATACACAAAACAGTTATAGTTTTACTTGCCGTTGAGTATGCACGTATATTTTCAGCTGTATATAAACATAATTTAATTATGCCAAGAAGCTGAAACGTCAATAATCATAAAAAAGTTGTATTTATTATTCTTATTAACCACAATTTTACATATAATATAAAGGATCGATCATAGATTTAGGCTGCCCGGGTGCTGTAATTCCTTGTGCACCTCCGTCAGGAACGATCCTAAACTCATTTATGTACAAGAAAACCACTTACTGATTAATTACAGTAAAAATTGGTTGTAGCTAATAAGTGCGATTAACCTATTATGATTAAGCCACTGCAAAGTTCAGATTTTAATGCCCTTAATGAGTTTCTAATTAAATTTGTATCAATTTCTTCTCATATTTTAACAGTTACAATTTTCAATTATTCAACAATAGAATATTTCTTTATTCTTTTCGTAAATCCTATTCACTAATATCCTCCATATATTTTCAACGATATTTATCCAAAAAACATGTCGGCCGTTTCAAAATTTAAATACTGTAATCTTTTATGGCTGGTTTCTTTCATAGCTTAAATAGTAATTTAGCTATAGTTAAATTGAAATAATTTGTATTATTATATATGTACAAAATATGTACACTCAAAGTTCCCCATATCATTACATTACCTGTGTTGGAATTAGGCGTTGAAGAAATATACATATTTTCAACTTGAATTAACGATTTTCTAGATTGCTCGCAAAAAACAAAATTTGGTTAAGATGGTTCAGATGACTTTAATTCTCATCAATGCAATATTCGAAAAGAAAAGAAAAATCGTCCAACGTATAATTTTGCAGCAGGCAATGTAATGGTGTGGAATGTTCTCAATATATTTTAAAAACTTCCAGTTGCAAGAATAAATAGCATAAGACATCAAAGTTTGTTATAATCGCATGTGCTCTCTTATCTTATGATCATATTTTAACAGAATTCCTATTCAACATACTACTTTTACACAACGTGCCTTTAAGAATCACAATATCCAAATTTACAAATGGCCGACATGTTATTCGAGAATGAATATCAGTGCGTATGTATACAAAATATTTGTGAACAGCTTTTATGAAAAAAAAACAAAATATATTCAACTGTTTAAGAATGAAAAACAATAATTGTTAACGTATAAAATAAAATTAATATTAATTTAATAGAAACCTTGTTAAAAGCATTAATATCTGAATTTGTCAGTTATTACTTTTAATGGAGCAGTAATTAATTATTAAAAACAATTTCTATTGTAATCTCTAAGCTTATTAAAAAAAACATTTATGTATTTAGTAACTAAGTAAATTTCTATTTTTGCCTGTACCACAAATAGTATTTTCCATAAAACAGATAACAATTCATTATGTATGTAAAAATTACAAAATCTTTCTTGATACCAGTGTCTTTCTTACATTCCCATTTCATACTGCAAGAAAGCAAAAGTATTATCCATAACAGTAGATTTGCTAAAAACAAAGTGAATTTATAATTTTTTACTTTTTGTAGTTCAACGAAAGTTGACTGAAAGTATTAAATTTTCAATATATTAGAAGTATTATCTTGATGTCAAAAAAATACTAACCATGAGACAAATATTTGGTAAAAAATATTTAAAAAATTTGATTACTTGTGTTTTGAATGTTATTCCACTGTTTATGAAATATTAAATAATACTGCTCAATGGAAACATCTTTCATAGATCTTATAGCTGATTTTAACCATACTATAGCTTGCACAAAATTTAAATCAGCTTCATACTCTTCTGCGTAATTTGCTAACTTTTCCGAAACTTCAAAAAGGTTTGATGGTACATTTATAAGGTGCTTGCATCGATAACAAATCATATCATTGTTTTTCTCAAAATTGCTTAATTTCTTTTCGTTCATTTCCAGTACAAGATCCTCGATATCAGGTGAACATAAATCTTCGTTATCTTTCGATGCATTATACAGAGAGTCATCTATATTATTAATTAATTATAGAAATATATTACTGTATAAATAACTACATGTACTGCATCTAATATTTTATAACTATTCAACAACCTATATTAGATGACTAACAATGCAAATTTTTCTGGTACGCTTGGTGTAATTGAAAAAGTAATTTATTCCGAATTCTAGTATGAATGTTTATTTGTTTATCGTTTGTATCAACGTTATTCATTTCTATTAAAACTACAAGATTATTGATCAATATTGTTAAAGTAAATATACTTGCTTGTTAAATGTAAGTTCATATATAACTCATTTTCTTTAAACTACAAAAAATAAGTATTGGATTCAAATTTATATACTACGTTTCACGAGAGCGGTATAATCAAATCTGAAACAGCATGTCTCAAACTTACAAAGAGAAAGGCGTCTAATAACGCAAGCGAGTAAATTCTACGCGCTAGATATAAATTTAATATTTTGAATCGGAATTGCTATTTATTTGTATTAGATTTGCTGATAACAAAAATATACATAAAATTATAACTTAATAATATTTATTTTAAAGCGTGTATTTTACGTTTCTTAAAAATAATTATCGTTAACAAAGATGATACTATTTAACCTGTTTTATGCGTTCTGTTGCGCGTAAAATATGCGCACCAGATCGGGAGATGAATTCTTTGACTAGGGCAAATTTACATGTGATTACTACTTTTTACTTTTACTTTCTTGGTTCTCTTAAAAAAGAGAACGGTTGAGTGACAACTCCTTTATTAAAAAATCTATAATGCTAGCAGTAAATACATTATTAAATAAAGCAATTACATGTGAAATTTTTTTTTAAATATATTCCCAACATCATTCTTATTCATTATCAGTATATGTAATCATGGTCTCAAAGGAAATAAGAAATAAACCATAATGAATAACTGTATTCATAATAATAAAAGATTATAAAAAGAATAAAAGCCTATGGAGACTTGGAATTTTGAAAATTTGAACTTCTGACAATTCATTTTCTAAAAATTTGCAAATATGTAGATTTACAAATTCGAAAATCTAATAATGAACTCTAAAGATGTTGCCTGAAATTAGTCACACTTATCAATCAACCCTTCAAATACCCTCTGTAGTTTTCAAAAACGCTTCGTTGTAAATCGCATTTTATAATGCAGCTTCACGTGCTTCCGGTTTATCGAACGGACCGGTTAAGATAGGTTGGTTAGGAACATTAATGGTATAAAGTGATTTTGATTTTATTACTATAGAAAAAAAGATTTAACAATTACTTGTAAAAATGAGTTCATTTATATCCGAGTCTTTATCAGATAAAGAAAAAAATGATCTTATGCAACAAATCAAACAAGAAGTTGCAATTGCAACTACACATGAGTTGCTCTCGGTACGATCACTGAAGTACATTTATTTTTTCATTATATATATTTAAGATGAATGAACGGCAAATATTTCATCTTATATTTTCAGAAAATGACAGAAAAGTGCTTTAAAAAGTGTATAGTCAAACCTGGCATCTCGCTGGATAGTTCCGAACAGGTAATCATTTCCATTTGTAAGAGATAACCTTACTAAAATCTAACCTTTTATGCTTAAAGTTTTAAAAGTCTAACTCCAATATTTCTTAATCTTATTTGGATACGAAACTTTCTAATTTTTATCAGTATTTTGACAGTTATTTAAGCATAATAAGTATATAACAATATTTTAAAATATAAACAATGAAGTAATACTTGAAAATTTCATACTATTTTATATAATATAAGGGTTCTAAAAAATAAAGTTATATTATTATTAATATTTATAGCATATAAATTCTTTCATGTGTTTTTGTAGCATTTTAATTTTGAGATAGACTTTTAAAGTTTTACTCAGTAAGTGAAAAGTAATTTTGTGAACAGAATTGTTAATTAATATAAATTTTGTAAGTCATTCTGATTTACTTACAGAAATGTGTAGCAATGTGTATGGACCGATATATGGAAACATATAATCTTGTATTAAAAACGTATAGTTCTAGAGTACAAAGAGAATTTAATAAAATGTAACAGTGTATAATTCTTAAATAAATTGTTTTTGGTTGTATGTTTTGTAGTTATGTATCAGCTATTTTCCAAAAAAGTTTTAAATAAAATGATTATAATATATTTAGAATTATCATAAGAAAATATATATATATATTATAAGATCATTACACAATAATTAATTATACATCTACCATTTACAAATATTATGTACTTTTGTATATAAAGGTGCTAGTTAAAATTGACATTAAATCAAAATTAATTTTCGTTACAAACTAAATATTTATATAGCTTTTAGATGTAAAATTGAATAAAATCTATTTTGAATACTGTGCAATAACAAAATACTGTAATATTCATTTATAAAACCTTTATATCATATAATGAATAAAAAATACATTAAATTTATAATCTGTGTTGTGCACATTATATATGTAAGTATTTTATAATGTTACAGAAAAATCAATTATTAAAGTCATAATAATAAATTAGGATTACAAGAGGGTAATTAAACACAACAATATTTGCAAAAGAGAAAAATCTTTATAAAATAAATAACATATACATGAATATCATTACATCATACTTCAAAATCATAAATAAGTAACTTAGGTGTTCTGTAAATCCCGCAATTCCATAGTATGCACTTGCATTGTTTCTTATTCATACACACTAAAAGGCACAATATAGCTACCAATATTTCAACGTGGTTACAAAAGTAAATTTCTAGGACATTATGAAAAAATATTGTGAGTAATTCATTAATACTTAATCCATTCAATGTGATGCTATAAATTAGTAAATAACAGTAATTACAACTATTTTATACCAGCAGTTGCAAAATTTATAATTAAACTGAATACCAATATATCAAGTGCCATCATTGTATGCACAGATTAATACAGATATTTTTGTAACATAACAAATTGATGTTATTAATTAGGGTATTTTCTTACTATAAAAACAGCTTTAAAGATATATATATCTATATGAAAAAACAAATTTGTTAATAACCTTTCTGATCTGAAAAAATATATTCCTAACTTTTTTTGTACTGCATTCGCTTATATGTTTGGCATATAAGATAAAAAATTTCATACTTATAACACATGGTATAGGTATATCTTACATATTTGAAAAAAAATATGTATATATGTAACGAGACTTCTGTATCTAATAAACTGCACACAGAATATGTAATTGTATACCAAGCAATTTATAATTGATTGCAACCCGTTTTGAAACTATATATGTATAAAAATGTTTGTATACCTTGCAGTGGAAATGTTTACAGAAACACTTTCTTGCTTTATAAAAATGTAAAATAAAATTTGTTAATGTACCATGATAGTGTAGAACATTCTTTAAATTATTATTTTCTCTCTCTCTCTCTCTCTCTCTCTCTCTCTCTCTCTCTCTCTCTCTTCGTTTGCTCATATTTTATCATGAAAAATACTTATTGTTTAAATTTTTTGCTAATGCTAACAATACAACAAAAATGCAATAATCTTAATAACAATGGAATGTATCTATGTTTTACATTTTATAAAGTTTAGGAATGTTCAGTATTATCCTGAAATTGGTTTTATAAAATTATATATTATATTGATACTAAAATGTAACCACGTTGATTGGTCAGGAACACACCTGCTTTAATATATACACAGAGATAAAAGTTGATTCAAACTAAGTGATTTCATCACTCTAGATATATATGTAATATTGCATAAGCAAAAATTCCAAATTTGATTGTTTCCTTCCTGTTACTAATAATGGATTTGTTGATTTAAATTTTGAATTAACAAATGATTTTTCAAATAAATCAGAGATAAACATGAAGTAAGAAATTATCTTCCATCAATACTAAATAAATACAATCCTGTTGTATTAAAAATATTATTGTTATAACTAAAATTAAAAGTTTCTAATTATTTAGTGCACAAAATATTTAAATATCATAGTTGCATTAATTTTATCAATAAAAATTGTTAAAACATCATTACTAGACTATGAAATTTCTTTGTTTGAATCATTTACAATATTTCCTATTGATATTACATTATTTATGTGCTACTAAAAAGTTCTGTGAAAGAAGCAGGCTGTACATTTGTTACAGATTTTGATTTGTCAAGCATCCAGTTGATCCATTGTGAATTGTACTTAGTTATTGCATCTTATATGGGACATAATTATATTATATCAATATGTTTATCAAGGTACTGGATTGCCCAAAAAAAATTGAATTACTTAGTTTAGTGCTTTCATTAGTCATGTAAGTATTACAAACCATAGATGCAAGAGAAAGACTAGCACCTAATTTCCAGTGAGTAACTTTAACCTTTATAAGTAACTTTAGTTTTATGCATTTAGCACCATTATCTTTGAAAAAAATAATTTGATGTACTTTTTAGGCAATCCATTTTTAGACGGATGATTTACTGATATTGCTATCAATACTATACCAGTAACTTTAGTTAAATGAGGTAATTAATGACATTTCAGTCATAAAATCAGACACAGGAATCATTCTAATAAACATAACATAATGTTACAAAAACTTTTTGAAAAATATAACTAAGTGTTCAACAACAATTAATGCAACTGATTAATTTTCATTTCTTAAAGTACGTTAACATTGAGATAATTGGCTTTAATAGTAATAATACTAGGCGTATTTATAGAATAACGTAGAAGGCAGTTTGTCTGAAAATGGTTACAATAAAAATATCTTAAGACTATAAGTTAGTTAGTGATATTTCATAGAACTGTCAACATAAAAATAGATTTATGCGTTCCGAATTAAAAAATTAAGTATTTAATTTGTAAAATGTTACTAGCCCAATTTTGTATAATATAATTATTTAATATTTATGTAACTATTCTCTAATAACTCACAAAGTGATGCTTACAATGCTTACTAATACACATATAATTTATATCCAGATGCATACTTTTTTAAGAACTTTTAGAAAATTTCTACTTGAAATACTTTAAATTATAATAGAATTTATATATATCTTTCTGTAGAGAGCAATGGCAGTTTAATTTATTTTACAGTGTTTGATTCCTTTTTATAAAATCTGTATAAAATTTTTGCAAAAATGTTAGAAACACAATACTAGATTTATTAAGTATGTAAGAACTGTGATTTCTAAATACTGTTAAAGTAAAATTTAAAATTTATGAAACTATATTTCTGTTAAGAGAGTGTTATAAAGTATAAAAGGTATAACCACTTATAAATATATATTCAGACATTTCCCTTCTACGTCTTTTATGTGAAAACTTATAAGTATTGAGCCACAAATGGCAGTGCCATGTCAGAAACCAAAGTAACTCTGCAAATTCATGAATTCACAACAATTTGCATTAATATACTTGTTGCCCTATCATAGGATACCAAATTTCAATATTGTAAAAGAAATAGCATCTTAAAGCTCTTACAGAAACTCTGTAACAATGTGATTTATAGTTATAGTTCTTTTGCACAATTTGCTGTAATACCCGTTGCAAAACTTGATATATTTTTATCCATATTTATATCCTCAAGCTAAAATGGAATGACACGTGCAATATTCAAAATGTATACAAAATATTATGTTAAAGAAAGAACTTTCAATTCATACTAAAATTACTCACACATGATGTACTGCTGAGTATATCATCCATATCTTCTATTTCTTCACTTATATCCTCGCTATGAGCACTTTGAATTTTGTCCCGATCTTTTGTTTGTAATTTTATTGGGCTATCTGTTTTTTCATGATCCTTAGAAGGACTTTGGTCATAAGCACTACCAGATGCAGATGAAACAAAATCTTCTTCATAGTTATCTGTACCGTCAGTTCCTGAAAGTTGCATAATGGTACTATATACATCTTAATAAAAAGATTAATTCTAATTATAAAAATGTATTCAAACATACCAAGTCCAATATCCATTAATTCTTTTAGATCACTAATATTAGTTTTTTTACCATTTAATGGTGGGAGATCACTAAGTATAGAATGAGGTTTTTTATCTAACGATGGTAAATCTTGTAAAAAGGTTTCTGTATTACATACATCATTGATATTTTCTCTTTTCCCATCAACAATAATTTCATCGAAGTATACAGTTTTTCCAAAACTGCTTCCAGTATTAACTGACTTTTTATTTTGTACATTATTTGCTATTTGTAATTCCAAACTATTTATATTATTTTGCTTATTTATATTTTCATTTTGATTTATTTGCGCTTCAGTAACTATAGATTCATCAAACTTAATTAAAGGCTCGGTTTTATTTAATAAATTTGTTTGGATGGATGTATTTATTTCAGTCTCCTTTTCTGTATGATTCATCGCTAGACTTGTGCCATTTTGACTTGCAGGGAGTGTATCAAAATGTATATTATTGTTCCCTTTATTATCAATTCCGCTATCCTTTTCATTGTATTCAGAAGCTGTATTATTCCTGAGATGATCATTCAGTTTTTCATAATTTGATTCATCCATTGAAACATTAGTAGATGTTTCTTCATTTCTTTGATCCATTATTGTCATATTTATTGGAACTTTTGAATTTTGTTGTGAAACACCCTCTATTTTATCTGAAACATCATTATCATTTGATAATGATGCAGTTTCATTGTGTACTACTTTTGGAATGGAAATTTCAAATGTTGCATTAGCAATATTTGCAACAGTTTCATCTGTTTTATTAAATCTGCTGTTATTAGTTTCATTCTGTAATAATATTCATAATTGCAATAGTGATAACATGACTCACAATTAGACATAACACTTTATATTTAAAAAAAAAACTAAAGTTATATACAATCTAGAAGAAAATACCTTTTGTGTATTATTAAAGGCACTGTTCATGCTATTCTTTAAAATTTCTCCAAGTAATGGTTCGTTAGATTCAATACCTAATTCTTCGCATAGTTTATTTCTTCCAACATAATTATATTCTTTTCCAAAGTATGTTTCTGGATCATATACAGATATTGTATAATCAAGACCAAAATATTCTAGGAACTCCCTAACTAAGGAAAACAACAATTTTCCTTCCGAATTAGCCAGGTACTGCTTTACAGTTTTATTGAGGAGTGGTTCTGGATTCTGAAATATCAATTTCCCTCTTTAAAAATCATAATATATATTATCAAAATAAACAATATTTTCTTATATTATTTCTTATATTTAATTATTATATACTTTTCTTTTAAGAATAAAACTAAATATTTTGACAAACAAACATATGTAATAATGTGTACTGAAAGTTGTTATGCCATTATAAAACATTTTGACATACCATAACTGATTCCTGTTCTTCTAAAGCTAAAAACACACTTGCCCTGAGTTCCGCCTATAACATTATAAAACATTTTAAGACAAGACAAATCAAACGGAGAATAAATTAAAATTTTAATAAACGAAAATTCTGATATGATTCGTGTAACCTACAGAAAACGTGTATTGTTTTAAATATTTTTATATCATACCCGCACTTTTGCCAGGACACCATTATTCTCAAGGGTTTGTACCACTAAATCTCGTAATTCGGTATCCTCCTCCATGGAAATATTGCCGTCTATCATGATTATAAATAAAAATTACTCTCGCAAACACTCAAGAAATGTAAATATTTATGCTTTCCATCGCGTGTCTTCTTTCCACAAATGTTTATCTAGAGATTATTTTTTCGCTGTCTAGGGAATTTAAACGTAGAAATTTTGAAAAAGGAAAAAAATGCTGTATATACTTCGCCCGCCAAGAGAACATACTCATTATCCGACCAGTTTTTGTATAGTTCTGCGCATGTCTGTTCTAATTGGTTCGAGCATCCTTCGTAACTAAGGATAACGCGCAGGCGTCTTTATGACTTTTACAGTGTTGTGCGTATGTACCCAGTGGGTTAAAAGTTTTGTAAATGTTGAGTGGCAAAAAAAAGTGGTCAGACACTAATCTGATAATTAAGAATGGCACGAAATTAATTAAATTCATAAATCGAATTAAAAAGATATATACAAAAAAGAAATAAAAATAAATAAGACAAAATCTAAATAAACTTGATTATGTGATGTATTATAATCTTTTATGAAGATAAAAATTTTGTACAAAATCTCTTTTATTTTATAAGTATTTACTTCTCGTAATATCACATTTTCTTTTTATCGATATACATGTTTTGTCTACTATGTGTATAACTGATGAATGAATTGAAAACGTAGGATATTGGAACAACAATAACTGGTGGGAAACATACTGAAGTTACTTGAGTTGCGCGACTCAAGTACGTCCTTTCGGGCAAACAAGCTATACATTTGTAACGCGAGCGTACTTACATGGTTATCATCCTGAATACAGTTAATGTAGTATGGCGACCCGGCCGTGAGAATATTTACAGAGCGCGTCTGTATTTTGTTATATCGATGACCATAAATTAAGAGCGAAATTTAAACCATCTGAGCGTGCGATCATGTACAATAGACAAAGCTTATATTGTTAAAGCCACTCGACGTGGATGTTCATGCTAGGAAAAGTTTGGGAATCCAGAGAATAAACTTAGCTTCACTTCGAATGTTTGTAGGGATTAATTTATTAGGGACCGTATCGAATTCGTTGTTTTCGACTAAGTCGCGTTCGGTTCTTGAAAGCTACGAGATCTTCCATGAATATCCTGTCTTTTCATACACTCGAAGAGGGTCGTAAATTTTCGCCTAGTACAAGGACTTGTTTGTTTTCCGTCTTCTCTGTATTCCACACTTTCCCTAAGCACATGTGCGCTATTACGTTCCCGCGTCTTGGCAGAGCCTTCACCACCACGCGGCTGAGGGTGGACCACAGCTAAGAGAAGGGGCCCACATCGGACGGGGTGGACTCCTCCACCATTGGACAAGGGATGATCCTGAGGGAGGATCCAGGATCCAGCGAAGAAGGGGCATCGATCCGCATCACCCGAAGATCTCCTCCGCCAAGCGCAGAACGAGTAGACAAATTTTGTATTTCATACGCTCCAATTCGCTCTTGTAAAAAGTACTTTATCATTTATTGAATAAATAGTTGGACTTAGTTTTTTTTCCATCTCAAATCTGTTCGAGTTATTTCTACACACCGCGAGCAGAGCATCTCAGCGCTCCACAGGTTACTTACCCACATCCTAAAATCCCTAGACCGTTAACTGTAAACGCAACGCATTTAAATATTGTTATAACGTTTTTATTAATTATCGCATTAAACGATAATATAATTAACGTAAAATGGAGTTTGATGTGCAATAAATATTGTAATATTTAAACATAATATATCATAAATTCAGGTATCAAATTTATTATTTTATATACTTGAACATTTTACAGATGCATCAGTATTACCAACATCTTTTAGTTTCTAATTATAAAAATTGCATACTACAGAAGGCAGTAATTTAAAATTTTGATTGATTGATTGATTATGTTGTGGGCGTCGATTACTATGGTCATTAGCCCATTAAAATTTTGAAATATAAATATTCATAAGTAAATGCAGAATGATTCAGGGACACCTTGAGGAAAAGGAAAATCATGGTATAATACTTTCTAAATTTTTATGACCGTATTTCTTACATTGAAGCACCAATACATCCGCTAAGTGCAATTACACTTTCCACATTTTTTTATTAGATTGATCAGTTCCTTTTATTGCTGTGTATGAAAGTATTATATCAAGGTCATTAAAATGCCAATACTTTACGAAATATTTATATTTTTTTTCTAATATGTTTTTAAACATTTTTTAATGTTTTTTTTTACATTTTTTAAATAATGCATTTTGATACGCTTTTCTAAATTATTAATTGAAACAAAAGAACCCAAATTTACATTATTTTTTAGAAAACCCCAAAAAAAGAAGACCAATGGATTTATAGAGTGAATACACTACTTGTGAGAAATCCTCATTTCGAAAAAAATATAAACAATTAAGTAATAAAGGATAAAACTTAATCTATTATATCTTTATTCTCTGTATCCTTTACCTTCATAAAAATTTAATATATATTTTAAGAACAGTATTTTTTTAAATCTTATAATATAAAATAAGAAATCTAAGGATTGATTATTTAGTTAATTTAATAGTTTCAATATTAAACTTCACACATACGTTTTTGTATCTTTATTTTAACATTTTATCAAAATTAAAATTTGAATAACAATAAAATTCATTAGCCAAATTATTTCGATGATGTGGTATAAAATTACATACTTTAACATTTAATAATCTTTCTGCTAATTCACTCATTACAGCACCTGCAAAATGAATTTAAATAATTAAATCATTTTTAGCAATAAATTTTGAAAAAAATTTAAACTTATTAAAAATACCTGTACAAAGTATAATATTCTTTTTAGCTAAGAATTTTATTGTAACAGCAGTTTTTGTTAAGCACTCATCAGAGAGAAATGGTGGATCAGCTATGACTAAATCAAACAAAGTTGACATGTCTCTAGGTATATTTAAGGGATATTTATAGTTGTATGGAACAAAGTCAGATCCAAATACCTTGAAACGTTCATCATATTCAAAAAGAATGACTGTTAATAAAATAAAGATATTATTATGAGCTAAGTTTTGATATATTGATATAATATATTAAGTATTAAAAATAATTTGTACTTGTACCTTGTCGTTTGTTACTACTTTTTTTTAATGCACTGTAAAGTGTAGGACAAGATATTAAAGCAATCTTTCCGTTATTCATTGTAGAATTTATAGCACCTTTTACAAGAGTATTTATTGTTTCATCATCATACCAAAACTGACTTAATTGCTGTAATTAAAAAAATGTAACATTAGAAAGATTAATGATAGATAATACAAAAGTAACAAGCATATATTATATTATGGTATTAGTACACAAATATAATAAGAAATAAGAAATATTGCTACTAGAAAAGATTCATAAAAGACTTACCCAATTTTCATCGAAAGTAATATTTAAAGTTTGACTTTCTAAATTTTGCTTTAATTGATTTTCTCTTTCTTCTTTTTCTTGAAGAAATTCATTTAAAGCAGCAAGTGTTGTAGGACACAATTGTAGATCATCATCAGAGCTATCACTCATTTTTATTGATTATTATATTTATATTACATATAACCACATATAATTATAATGTGACAGTTAATCACAAAAATTCATGAATTGTACAAAATATTGAAAACAAAATTTATTGTCTATTTTATTACTGGTAAATTTAACAATTTTATATTATTTAACTGTACAATTTAATAATATAAATTTTAATTAACTTTGAAAAAAGTAATTAAAATTTGTATAATATATATTATATTTATATTATACATACATGATATTTGATTTTATTAATAATAATTATACATAGATATCGTTTCATCAAAGATCATGCTCATTAGACAATGTACTTTTATTCATTTTGTGTGTTTTGTATCGTTCTGTTTGGCTCAAAATGCATCTAATTCTATTTAATAAATATGTGTAAAACTAATGATAGTAAAAGTTTAACAATGAACTATTTTTAAATAAATATAATTAATAATATCTATTGTTAATCTGAAAGTTATATTCTGTCAGTACAGAAATAACAAAGATGCATATAATTTCTCAATATAGTTCAAAACTTAATAACAATGAATTACATAACCTTTAAAATTCAGAAATATAAAATAATCCATTACGTTGAAAGGTATATATCTTCTTTTAATGTAACCTAACCTAGACATATTTTATTTTATACTGTACAATATTGTAAGAAGTTACCGGCTTCAGAAAATAAATTGAACAGAAGGAAAGAAAGTGTTACAATGAAACCAGAAGATGACGTGAAATTGTTTGAATCTATTGGTCTCAGTGAACAGAAGGCTAAAGAAACTCTAAAAAATAAACAAGTTTCCAGTAATTTAAAACTTGCCGTAACTGAGGTTAGCAAATTGATTCAACGTCTTTGAATTATTTTTTATGATGCAATTATTTAATCTTTTTCAATAAAGTAAATTCATTAGAAATTTCCTTCTTTTTGTTATTGATTTGAATAGAAAGTAATTTTGTTAAATGTAATATTATTTTGTTACATTTGATTGTACCATATGTGCTGTATTTTCAGGCCAAAATACATGGAACTATTTCCCCCGAAGTTGGTATTCTATTATATCATCTAGCTTCAAAAATTAAAAATCAAATTTCGGACAAATTACCATTTCTTACAAAATATATAGTTGAAAAGAAATTGGACACGATTCAACGAGTAGATGCTGGTCTGAATTATCTACTCAGTCATATAAAGGAAAATGTTGATATTTCTAATTTTGAAAAACAATGTGGTATCGGTATTACTGTATCTCCAGAAGAAATTGAACACGAAGTGGAAAAAGTTATACATGCGCATAAAATAGAAATATTAGAGAAAAGGTATATTCTTTATTACTATTGCAAGTTGGGATAACTTTGACAGTTAGTATTATTTTATACTAAACTTAAAAAAATTATCATTTTAAATAATATTTTTTTGCAAATTGTCAAAATATTCTTTAATAATTTACAGAGTAGCAAAATTTGGTAGTAGCAATTACTTTTGGGACAAAATTGTGCTAATTGAATTAAACATATCTTAATGTACAATGATTTAAAACTTTAACATAGTTTCAAACATTTTAACAATTTTATGAAATGAAATGCAATTTTGCAGATATCACTTTAATGTTGGTCCATTGATGCAACAAGTACGTAGTACTTTGAAATGGGCAGATGGAAAAGCAATAAAAAATGAATTTGATGTTCAAATGCTTGACTTACTGGGTCCAAAATGTGACTCTGATCTTGCTCCACCTCCTAAATCAACAAAACAAACTAAAACTAAAACACCAGAGAAAGAGAAAGGTAAATTTTATGTTTTAGTTTAGGTCTTCCCAAGTAGAAGAAACCTAATCCTAAAATACATATATGATAAGCTCTTTCTTCAAAAGACTGCTTCTTCCCTTTGAGCAAGATAAAAATTTAACAGAGTATTAATCATTGTCTCATGCCTCTTGGGAATACTTCAAGAAAGTCTACATTAATTGATAAAAATGAATTAATCATAAAAAATTTATGATTGTTTTGTTGTCTAGTGGACCAGAAAAATGTATCATTAACAAATGAGAAAATAGTAGGTGCTCAAACAATTAGTGAATTAATGAAGACTAAAGTTCATTTTCATAAACCAGGAGAAAATTATAAAACCGAAGGATATGTTGTAACACCAAATACACATAAATTACTTCAAGAACATTTGAAAATAACAGGTGGTAAAGTGATAACTAGATTTCCACCAGAACCTAATGGCATTTTGCATATTGGTCATGCAAAAGCAATTAATATTAATTTTGGGTATATTTGTCATTTTAATATTATTTTTTAAGTTTATTAAAAAAATATTATAAATAGTGATTTCATTGCAGGTATGCAGCTGCTCATAATGGTATGTGTTACTTACGTTATGATGATACAAATCCAGAAAAGGAAGAAGAGAAGTTTTTTATCGGAATACGCGAAATGGTGGAGTGGCTTGGTTATAAACCTGCTAAAATTACTCATTCATCCGATTATTTTCAACAGCTACATGAATGGGCTATTCAGCTTATAGAAAAAGGATTAGCATACGTTTGTCATCAATCTAGTGAGGAAATGAAAGGTTTTAATCCACCTCCAAGTCCTTGGCGTGACAGGCCTGTTTCAGAAAGTTTGCAATTATTTAATGTAATTAATTCCTTCTTCAAATAAATTACATTTTTATATTTCAATATAAAAAACAAACATTAAAAATTAAGTTAATATTTAATATACATTATGTTTCGTCTTTGATGAATTATTATGTATATTAATTTTATAATTTGTATAAAATAGGATATGAAGGATGGATTACTTGAAGAAGGTGAAGCTACGTTACGTATGAAAGTTACCTTAGAAGAAGGAAAACAAGATCCTGTTGCATATAGGATAAAGTATATTCCACATCACAGAACAGGAGATCAGTGGTGTATTTATCCCACATATGACTTTACTCATTGTTTATGCGATAGTATAGAAAACATAACTCATTCTCTTTGTACAAAAGAATTTCAATCACGGAGATCGTCATATTATTGGCTTTGTAATGTCTTAGATATCTATTGCCCTGTGCAGTGGGAATATGGTAGATTAAATGTAAGTTACACGGTTGTTTCTAAAAGGAAAATCAGTAAGTTGATTGAGGAAGGCATTGTATCTGACTGGGATGATCCTAGGTATATTTCAATATTGTTTGAATATTAACTTTTTATATATTATTGATGTTCAGTATTTATTATACTTTTTCAGATTATTTACATTAACAGCTCTTCGTAGGCGAGGCTTTCCACCAGAAGCTATAAATAATTTTTGTGCACAAATGGGTGTAACCGGTGCTCAAGCAGTTGTAGATCCAGCTGTTTTAGAAGCTTCTGTTCGAGACGTTTTAAATCTTACTGCGAGTCGACATATGGTCGTTTTAGACCCCATCAAAGTAACCATCAATAATTTTCCTCATAAAAATCCTATCAAATTAAACGTTTTTGATTTTCCTAACGAACCGGAAAAAGGCCAACATGAAATTATTTTTGATGAAATTGTGTATATTGAAAGTTCTGATTTTAAGGAGGTACATAATAACAGTTTTCTTTCAGTAACCTATTAAAATAAATCTTATTTATTATCATTTTATTAAAACTTTATCACGTTTATAGAAAGCAGAAAAAGATTTTAGGCGTTTAACACCAAATCAATCAGTTGGTTTAAAATATATAGGACTGGTATTAAGAATCAAAGAAATAGTAAGAGATAGCAGCGGTAACATCGAAAATTTGATTGTTGAACAAGAACCTATCTCTGAAACTAATAAACCTAAAGCTTTTATACACTGGGTTTCGAAGCCTATATCAACATTCGTTAGATTATATGATCGTTTGTAAGTATTATATTAATATAACAGTACTATTAACATAAATATTACGACACTTTATACATATTTGTGGTATGGTTATTAGATTTAAACATAAGAACCCTGAAGATCCGCATGAAGTACCAAATGGTTTCTTAAGTGATGTTAATCTTGATAGTAAAAAAGAGATTACTGGATATGCTGATGCAAGTTTGGCAAAGTTAGCAAAACCTTTTGATAAATTCCAATTTGAACGTGTTGGCTTTTTCTCTGTAGATCCTGATTCAGTACCAGGGAAGGTAATTATTAACAAATGTTAGTTATAGTAAATTCAATTTATACCCGTTTATTTTGTTTATTACAGCTTGTTTTTAACCGAACGGTAACGCTCAAAGAGGATTCAGGAAAAATATAAATAAATTTAATATATTGTGAATGCAATGTATGAACAATTTAGTTTCATAATATTTTACAGATTTTGTAATATTTTATATAATATTTATAAATAGCAATTATAGAATGCAAATTATAGATTTCATTTTTCTTTTTCTTAATCATATAATGATATAATACTATTAGACAATAAGTGGATAATAAATACAGTTCAATTCATCATACATGATTCATATGTAGGAACCATATATTTAATGTTTATAAAAGCATCTTCACCGCCATATGTTTCAAGCATTTCAAGAGTTTCTTGTATCAAATCTGCAACATTTTCTCCTCTTTGCTGTGAGTAGTCAATGCCTTCTCCAAGATTTACTATAACAGATTTACTTTATTTAATTTTTAAATAAATATATAAACGTGAATTAAAATCTTACCGTTTCTGTCTTTTAATAAATTAAGAACTGGTAAAATTTGTCTAAAGTACGGCACTAAAGCTTCTCCCACACAATCTGCTGATTGTACAAGTTTTTGAATTGCTCTTAGTGTTGTGCAAATAATTTCCGGCATTTTTGTGTTCAAAGCCTCTAAAATAAACATTCTGTATGTATACACAGAATTGTTATAAAACTATTTGAACAAAATAAAAAATGGAAAATTACTTTTAATAGGAATTATTAATTGAGGTACAACAGGTAAAATTTTAGGACCACCATGTTCTAACATGTCAGATATTCCTTGTTCCACTATAAATTTATACGGTTGCTCAGTTTCTGTTAAACCGTCAAAAAGCAGCGGCAAATAATGATGAAAATCTAAATCTTCGATATTGACTTTCCAATTAAGTTTCGTACCATGAATATCTTTTTCCAATGAAAGTGGAAACACACCCCATTCGTAAAATTTTCGAAAAGTTGATGGTTTCGGTGGTTGAGGTTTATATAATTTACATCGAGGAGGTTTTTCAACTATAGTGTTCTCCTAAATAAATTATCATTACATGTAAAATTAATTAAACGTATTTTTATATTTTACCTGTAAAGCTTGAATAGTAAATGCAGGAACAACTCGGGGTTTCCTTTTCTTGTATCGTGGTATATCTTTTCGAATTTCAGTCCAAAATTCCGTTTCATTTACCATTCCGATGCTTTTATTCTTATGAAAATTTTAAATATTTAAGTGACTGATTATTGTGAAATGTATTACACAATTTCATTCACGCAAAACAAATTGTACCAAAAAAGGACGTTTCTTTACTAATGTTACATTCTGAACGTTTCATAGTACAAGAAGTCAATATTTAATAGATATGGATCAAACAGTTTGTTTCCCTAGCAACTGTGAATGATTTATTTAATAAATTATAATAACTCGTATATTTCATCAAAAGTATATTTTTAATTTAATGGATAAATAAACTTTAAATGAACGAAAACTATGAAGTATAAAATATTACTTTCACTTATATATGTACATACATTAAATATTTAATTACAAAATAGATAACAATTAATTTACATTTACGCGGTAGTTTTTGTAATCTTCTTGTGATACTGCGGATCATCAAAGATCAAATTTCTCTTTTGTGGTTCCTCTTTGTCAGCTGTATTTTATTATTAAGGAAAATAATTTTTTTCAAAATATTAGTAACATTTGAATTAAAAAATATATCAAGTTTTTATATTTAAAAAAATAAGTTTGCAAAGGATATTTGTGAAGTAATTTGAAAATTCCCGTCCCTAATGGAACTGGAATACCCATTATAATTGACTCAGACACACCGCAGATAACATCTTTTTGTCCATAATAAGCTGCATCAAATAGATGATCGGCTGTTTTCTCAAACTATTAAATAATTTTCTATTAGTATTTTTATCTAAGTACAACATATCTAAAATAGTGATGGACAAATTAGCGTTTGAATATAAGAAAGTTCGTAAATTGGTAAATTTAAGGATTGTACACATTTTTCCCGTAATCTTTCTAATAAGCGCTTGATAAGCCCATCACTGATCTAAAGTATGTAAGAAAACCTACCGAGGCTAAATTTAAGACTGATTCTTTCATTTTTGCTAAACCTTGTCTTGTAATACCTAATACTTCTCCTCTACTAGTCATCAAATCTGCCACAAGCATTGGATGTCTTCGGTCAATACTCATTCCATGATTTTCCATTACTAATTTAATTTCTGTCATTATAGTTGCTCTTGCAGCTTCAATTCCTAGAGTTTTGAAAACCTAAAAAACATTATATTATATGTATGTTTTTTTAGCCAAATATTTTAATTTTAATTTCTCTGCTTACCTCTATTGTATTGTTTGAAGTTGTTTTTTTACCCGAAACACCAAGAGTGGCCATTACTTCTCGCATATTATCTCCTTCAACAAACAGCTTATACCTGGTTTTACCACTTGAATCATCGTTGTGAATGACAGCTCTAGAAACTGATGGCAAACCCTATAAATAGCATAAAAATAAAAATTTAAGTACAATTTTAGAAAAATTAAAGTTTTTATTACATAAAATGTTTATTATATAAAAACAATTACTGTTTTACCTTTACAACAATATTCGGGATCGTTTCTTTCAGTTGTGTGAGGGCATAATTTATACTGTATTTATTTTTGTTGGGACTCACAGTGATAATAGAATCTCCTCTCACATTTACTAATTTTGGATTTAGCTTCAACTTTGATGTACAAATGCTATATAAAGTTATTAAAATTAAATTATACAGTATATGTATAATGCTGTGAAAAAATATAAATCTATACACGTACGAATAACGAATCGAATTAACGTCTACTTCTAATTTTAACAATTTTATCCTGTCGATATCTAACTTTATCAATAAAAAACAATCATCTGGTAGATATACTTCATCGATATATTCAGTAACTTCTCCCAAAGTAGTTTTTTCAATTCTACCTTTAACTCTCCTAGCATATTCTGGATCTACATCATTTTCCTAAAATCAACATTAGAAAATATCATTATTTACAATATACTGGTATACAATGAACTTTAAGCGAAAAATTAACTTACTAAAGCTGCTGTAATTATAGGAGTACTAATTTTTGGATTTGCATTAATGATCTCTTTAATACGTGGTACACCTTGAGTAATATTCATAGATGCTACGCCAGCAAAATGGAACGTTTTCAAGGTCATCTGAGTACCCGGTTCTCCAATACTTTGAGCAGCAAGTGCACCTACAGCGGTACCTGGCTCTATTTTAGCTCTCATGTATTTTTCTTTGCAAATGTGAATGAATTCGACTAACTGAGAAACTGTAAGTCGTTCAAGTTGTAGAATTACAGGTATATTTGATGGAGCATTATGTCGGAGACGTGCTATTTTACGTGCTATACTTTTAAGGAATGTTCTGCAACAGCAACATTAAATTATTTTTATAGTATTTAACATGAAAAAAACGATAACTGCGCAATCGTTTTTTTAAATTAAACTCTTTTTTACGAACCTAGAAATTTACTGCTTATAAACGTATCTTATATTTAATTTAATTTGACTTGCTACTTTCTTAATATTGTTACAATGGTTATAGTAACGAAGGAGGTAAAATGACTAATAAAAATTATATTATACTTTCCCTTTTTTGTTATCAATGTCATTGAACTTTCGTATTTTGTAAATTAGTATTTGAATAAAAAAGTTATTCAATTTTTATTAAACTTGAGTTTCAAAAAGAAGAAAAAATTTTGAACTCAATTAAGAAAACAGGAAAAAAAAATTTTGTTAACTGAAAGATTTGAATACTTGAATCACAGAAATATAAATTTGTTATTTTACAAATTTCACTACAATAGCTGTTAAGAATGTATATTAGTATATCAGAAAAATAAATGTTAAATACTATTGAAAATAATGGATATTACCAAAAACGCTTGAATACAGGTTTGCTTATTCTTATTCTAGTTTTATTTTAAAAAAGAAAAGAAAAGTTTGATTAAAATTGACTGTTCCGTAGCTATGACGTTTCTTTGTAAGTGGAATGGAGAAATGTATGTAAATCTTTTACTTACGCCAATTCCTGTTTGAATTCCTTACTGAGACATTCATATTCTTCAGAACTTAATAATTCATTTGTCGCTGTAATTACACTAGGACCATCTAATGACTGTTCATTTTTACATGGCGATTTTGCTCTTACATGATCTAACACTCTCTTGTAATCCACGGGGCAATCTTTTCCTATTATAATTATTATCTTAGTATTCTATTATTAATATCAAAAACAATATCTTACCTTCCATATATGTAGGATCTAAAGCATCACCGCCGTATAATATTTGTACAATATCTCCTACCGAGTTACGAACTGTCATATCGTAATGAAGGCACAAATCTTCTAAACTTTTAACTAATCTACGCTGCATGTAGCCAGTTTCAGCAGTTTTAACTGCTGTGTCTACAAGACCTTCTCTTCCGCCCATTGTATGAAAGAAAAATTCAGTCGGTGTTAAACCAGAATAAAATGAATTTTCCACGAAACCTTTTGCTGCAGGAATTTTCGAGTGACGTTCAAAATGTGGTAAAGCTCTGTCCTCAAACCCATTTGGTACTCGATGACCGCTAATAGCTTGTTGACCCACACAAGCTAATTAGAAGAAAATTAATGAACAAAAATACTATAAATCCTTCACAAATATTTCTGTTACACCAGACTAATCATACCAATCATTTGCGATATATTAATAAAACTTCCTTTGCTGCCAGATAAAGCCATAACCAATGGACTATTGCTTGGATGAAGCTCTTTTAAGCATGCTTTACCAGCATGGTCACGAATCACTGAAAGCTCCTTTAAAATCATGGCTTCTAAAGTTTCTTCTTCTGTACACCCCGGTTGACATACAAGACGTCCTTCTTCCATTTGATGAATGTACTCCGTACATTTAGAGTACCTAAAGCATAACAAATTTAACGTGTGATTTTATTTGAGAGTATTGAAATACTTGCATAAAAGCGATAGTTTAGTTCTGCAACAAATTAGTTTTTAGTTTTTATAATACACACGATGATCAGACAAACTCGATCAATTAAATCATAAAAGATGAGAAACATATTAAAAATAATTAAAAAGAGAGTGGAATAAATCATGGAAAAATTAACATACTTTATGAAACAAGAACAAAATATACACCTAATAAGCATAACTATAACATTTACAAGAAAAGAATAAGCGCAGATAATCAAACTCCGGATAGAATACACAAATATTAATTAGTTAATTAAAAAACAAGGACGATGTCCGCAACCGCTACAATACTAACACCATTATGTAAGACATAATAAATGAATAAGAAACACTCAATAATATTTAGTTATTTTTAAATGATAAAAAACACTGTAAGAAGTAAAATAGATTTCTTATGCTAAATGTGAAACATAATAGAATGTAACATTAAACAAGTACGTAAAAAACACAAACTTAATTAAAAAATGTTATAACTATTTTTATTTTATGTTATTTAAATATTTTTTTACCCAGCATGTAAAAGTTCTTGTTTAGCTTTAAGTAATCCTTGTCCAGGTGTAACATCACCAATTCCAATAGAAAAACCTCTATTCATGAGAAAGAAACTTGCCATTCTGGCCAATCGCCACATTGCTGTTGTTGCAATATCTTCACCCCAATCACGCAATAAAATATAAAATATGTTCTGTTTTGAACCTGAACCCAAAGTCGATTTGTCCATAGATCCTGCTAATAGTTCTGAATTCCGAATGATAACATCTAGAATTTTTCACTTTCATTATTCTTTTGCCATTTTAAAACATAAGTAATCAATTGTGTACATACAAGAATCATTAATACATAATTCTTCATTTGTGGTATAAGCTCTTCCTTTGGTTTTTAAATTAGCTCTGATATTACACATCTTATTAGGTTTTAAAATTAAACTAAAAATTTGTTTTCCAGTCCATAACACAGTCGGTTTTAATATAGCAGGTTCAGGTAAATCTATAGACATAGCAATATCAAGGCCTGCTAAAAGACAACCTGCTAATTGACTTGCTTGAGATTTATTTAAAAACATGTCCTTTTGAGTTAAAAGATATCCACCAGTAATGAAATCCTGTGTTGCTGCTATTAACAATTCTCCATTACGAGGTGTAACTAAATTTGATTTATTCTAAAAAATTAAAAGTACAAAATAATACCTTTCTTGTATATAACTATATGTAATATAGTTAATATAAAATAATTTGCATTTTACCCCCATTAAAACTAACGCTTCTGCTCTTGCTTCTTCTGTTTGAGGTAAATGTAAATTCATTTCATCTCCATCAAAATCAGCATTATAAGGGGTACAAACACATTCGTTAAACCTAAATGTTCTATGCTCTAGTACTTTCGCTTTATGTGCCATAATACTTAATTTATGTAATGATGGTTGTCTATTAAATAATACTACATCGTCATCTCTTAGATGTCTTTCGACGATATCACCATACTATATATTAAAATAAATACATTTACTTATTTTGTAAGTATACCATAGTTTTAAACTTTAAAAAATCTAAAATACTACCTGTAAATCCTGAGCTATCTTTTGTCGATTTCCGTATCTTAAATATTTTTTAAATTGCGTTTTCCCTTGTTGTATAAAATTTGCACCTGGATGTACATCTGGACCATTTCTTACCAGTTTTCGCATTAATTCTATATTGGAAGGATTAACTCTTTCAGGATATGTTAAAATTTTTGCCACATGAATAGGTACACCAACCTAATAAAAAAATACGTTATTGTAATATTAATAATTTATTTAAATGTCAACTAAAACTTACTTGTTCAATTCTAAGATTAGGATCTGGAGAAATAACAGTACGACTAGAGAAGTCCACACGTTTTCCAGATAAATTACCACGAAAACGACCTTGTTTTCCTTTTAATCTTTGAACTAACCCTCTACCAGATTTTTTTGGCTAGAAGATTTCAATGCTTTTTAATAATAACGGATTGAAAATTGTATAATTTGTAATTCTGCAATATGTCACTAAAAACTTACTTGCATATTAAGTGGAATACCAGACATTTCACTATTTATGTAAAGAGCACAATGTAATTGCAAAAATTCCCAATCTTCATTGTACATTTGTACTTTAGCACCACTTTGTCTATGTTTCTGAATAACATCATTGATAAAAACAATTTCTGATAGTTTCATAGTTAAATGATCCTCTGTTGTACCAGCTTTTAAATCTGACACAACACTAGGTCTAATGCAAATTGGTGGAACAGGAATTCTTGTTAATATTAAATCTTTTGGCAATGCACACTCTGGATTCATCATTAATAAAGGAATATCACTTTCTGGTATTTTTTCCAAAATACTTTGAACCTTAAATTATAATATTATTTTTATATTGTTTTTATACTAATTTTTGTACTAATAAATTATAACTAATGACAACTTTTACCTCTAATGGATTTAATATATTAACTAGCCCATTCTGAAGTATTCCTTCTAATGCTTTATTATCTTCAAGTACATTATTATACTCTGCCAACTTTTGTTGAACAATAGCATCTATTTTTTTCTTAGCTTTATACTTTTCATGAACTATTTTAAGTAAACCAGCTTTTTTGACAGTTCCATTAAGATCTCCGCAATTTTGGCAAACTGTAGTTTTTTTAGCTTTCTCTAAAATTTGTTTACGCAATGCTTTACGTGTTAGGTATCCCAAATTAGGATTTAACACTCTAGTTAAATAATGCTTCTTGTCTGCTTCAGATAACATAACATGAGCACAATTCTATGAATTGGAATACAAGTATTATTATTATTAATAATAGGTTACATACAATCACACTGATATTTATGTTGATGCTGAAACTTTTTAAGAATTCCAGTTTTGTTTCTGCTTATTCTCACAATTTCCATTTTTCATGAACTATGCCTAAACTGTCTATCAAATATTGAAAAAAATTGATCAACAATATGTCAAATTGTCAATTAGAGGTCAAAATAGCAAACTTATTAAATTTAGTGCTAATTTTATATTTTGACGTATTAATTAGTACAAATTTAGCAAAATCAACTTATTTTTCAACCAACCTAAGTTTCATAAACCTTATTAATAATGAAATATATGGCAGTTTTTGAGTTTTTTATTTCAGCACCTCTTAACTTAAGAATTTTTCATAACAAGTGAAAACTATTGCAATGAGTTAAATAGGTCTAAATATAGATATTTTTAGATAAAGAGAATTGGAATTCCTAGAAAATTTTAGTACTAACATAAGTACACATGCAATTGTATATGTAGATAAAATCAATAATAATGTACTTTGCAAATAGACTGTAGAATACCAATAATCGATCTAAAATAACCAACATGGAACACAGGTAATTCTAAATCGATATATCCAAAATGTCCAATACATTCATTCAAGGATTTACCACATGATGCACAATTGGTTGTGTTATTGCAAGTTCCCTAGAAGTTTGTTTATTTTATTATTATTTTAATAATAATTAGTATAGAGAATATCACAAACAGTATTATGAAAATGGTGAGCTACAAAAATAACAGTTTTCATTGCAACACTGCTAAAGTTTTAAGCAAATTTATCTTAAACTAATGCATGTTGCAGTCTATATATACCAAAAACTGAAAATCTAGAAATTCAAAATTGCAATCATCTGTTTATAATTACCATTCTTCTGTCAAGAACACCATATGGAACTGGAGTATGTTCAACATCTTGATTATAAAGATTTTTAGCCACAACATGCATATGAGCCTGCCTTTCCATGTTGTGACGACTGTCCACTCCAAACGATACATGAGAGCTAATTAGCATATACAAATATTTAAAATCTATTGATTAAAAGTAATTATTGACTAAATATATAAAGTTACAATGTTGTAAAATAAATACCAATCAAATAAAATAATTTAAACAAATTATGTAAAGGAAAATTCTATTGAAACTGTACCACAAAATTTGTATTACAGTTTTCAAAAATACAATTAATATTAACTTACGTAAATTTGCAGACATAAGGTTAACTTCTAAGCGAATTAAAATAAAATACGTACATTTTACGAGCTACGTCTGTTTCTCTAAATTGTTCTTTTACCATTTTGAAGGTTAAAAGTTATCGTTTAATATACAATTTTTTATTTAAAATAAATTAATCTCATGAAAATTGTCTAAACAGTTAAAAGAATTCAGAGAATTCTTCAAACACGTGCTATTTTCTATTAGTGGTGCCATCTCGGATTTGACAAGTTTGTATTGTTTATAAATCAAAATGATTGGCAATGCGTGAGAGACCAGATAATTCGCGCATGCGTCAGGTTTATTTGCGCACGCGTTACGAAAATAGTATCAGTGCAGTACATATATGAATAAAAAGATGTTCCTTGATCGCCCGTGGATAATTCTGTAAAATTTGTTGTAATTTACGGGAGATGTATGTGCATGAATACGCGTAAATATTAATATTAATTTACCAAATTTTGTAATTCACCAAATTTGTTTTATATCTATCAAGTTAAAGTTTTAGTGTTTGTAGTACTACCTTACTACTTTCGGCAAACGATAAGTACGCTGCTGCAATTGGTCATTACGGCTGCTCATGCGCAAAAATATTTTGTCCGTCTGTCGCACTGATTGGTTAGAGAAACTGTATAACAATACCATTGAATGCGCAAAAGCGCGGTTTGATTCATATATCAAGTAAAAATAAAAAATATACATTAAGTAAAAATATTTTTAATTGTACTTATATATTTATCTCTTCCAGATAGATATTCAATAATTAAACATATTTCTCTTATATTAAATTTAACTATACTTGAAATATGTCGAGGGTAAGTTGTGAAGTTATATGTTGTTAACGAGGTTAGATATTCTTTACTCCGATATGTTTTTTAAAGTTATTTGTTATTAGTATTTAAATCATAAGTTTTGTAAAACGCAATTATCTTTTTCAGGATATAAGATCCTATTTTCAGACTGCTAAAAAGACTTCCAGTGTTACTTCGTCAAAAAATAAGAAAAGAAGATTAATTTCGTCGGATGAAGATGATGAAAAATCAAAATCTCCAATAAAACCATCCAAGGTTCTAATATTTTATCATAATTTGGCTGATCGAAATTTCAGATTATATTTCATTCTTAAAATACACATTTTATATTTCTAATTTTTCTTTCTAACATAGAGAATATAATATGTAACATTCTGTTTTAGAAAACAAAAACATTAAAGAAAAGTGCTATAGAATCTGATTCTGATACTGAGGCACGAGTCGTTTCTCCTGGTGATATATTTGGTAAAAAGCCAATAAGTAGAGAAGAAGCACCTAAGATATCAAAACAATTACAAAAAGAGGTAATACATTAATCTATTATTAGTAGAAAATGCAAAACACATGTTAGTCTCATTTCAATCTAATTTCAATATATTCAATGTAATAGTATTCATAGTATTCTTTTTTAATTTTGATAAAGAGTTAGCTAAACTATAATAAAAACAAGCAGAGTTTAATAAGAATTAAATTTCCTTTGAAACAAATAATGATTTTTTGCCTAACGATGATACTATATGTATATATATATTATATAACTTGATGATCATTCTTTGTGTAAATAAACACAAATAGTTTCAAGACAGTAACTGGTTTTTATTTTTTTTTAAAATGGCAGGAAACGGGATTTAGTTAGATTTTGCTCTATTTTACTAAAATGTCTTTAAAATTCACCTTAGTATTCAAGGGTTAATGTTGTAGGAAGCTAAGGCTCACAACGATGATGATTTTGAAGCTACTTTGTGTCAGTTAGACACCTCTGATATTGAACGAAAATATGTAAAAGAAAGTAAGGTGGATAAAGGTATTGACATATAGAAAGTATTATTAATGTATTATTAATCATTGTGTTAATACATACATTCTGATTTAGGTGAAAGTAATACTAACAATGAAAACACAAAAAAAACTCTGGTTAAAGATAAAGAAAATATTAAAAAGAAAAAAACACCAGAGAAAAATAAAAAACAAAGTAAACCAAAGACTAAAAAACATTCTAGTAACAGTTCGAATGAAGATATAAAGCACACTGTTCCTGAAAGTAGCAATAAATCTAAGCACACCAAAAGACCTAAAAGTACATCACCTATTTCTAAAATGGAAGTTGAACATATAGAAAAGAAAGTATCTCCTAAAAAGAAAGAAGTACATGATGTATACGAGGAAAGAGTTGAAAAAAGGAAACAACATGCTCAAATGTATCAGCAATATCTTCAAAGAGGGGGTGCCAGAAATCCAGGATCAAAAGAAATTCCTGTTGTAAGTAAGAAACATTGTATGCATAATTACATAAGGGAACTGATTGTTTGGTTTACAAACAGTGATTTAAAAACAAGGTGGTTTTTCACCCATTTTTGATATTATGATTTTAGAATTGAATTTTATGCTTAATATGATCATCTTTTAATAAAACATCACAAGTTGAATTGACAATTAATTTCTAAGATGTGAGGAGTCAAAGAAGTTAAAATTTATTAATGCGTCAACGTATATATTTGATGTACAGATTTTTATGTCAATTTAGTAATTTAAAATATCAAAAAACAGTCCATTTTTTGGGGTCACTCTTTTATTTATGAATATAAATAAACATGTTCTAAGAAATATACTGAAATTTCAGGGTGCTGAATATTGTCTTGCAGGATTAAGTTTTGTAATAACTGGTGTTTTGGATTCTTTAGAGAGGGAAGAAGCTGAAGAGCTTATAAAAAAATATGGTGGACGAATTTTACATCAACCTTCAAGGAAAACTGATTATGTTATAATAGGTGATCAACCTGGAGCATCAAAGTTAGCAAAAGTAAATATAATTATTAATACATTTAAACATTTTGATTCTTGTACGACATAAATCATAAATTATATTAACTAACATAAACATGTTTTTAGATTAATAGTTTAAACATTGAAAAAATATCAGAGGATGAATTATTAGAAATGATTCGTACTAGGCCTGCTGGTCAAGCTAATAATGTAATTCATCCTTCTCATCGCGCGAGTTCAAAAAATAAAACTAAACGGAAATCTGCAGAATCAGAAGATATGTCTCCTTCACCGTCAAAAGAGGCAAAAGGTAAAACTGAAGAAGTAGGAAAATCAGTATGTTCCCCTCAGAAAGAAAAAAGTACTGAAAAGGACGTACAAAAATTATTAGAGAAATCACCTCATAAAAAAGAACACCATACTAAACATGTAAAAACACCATCTCCGATTAAAAAGCAGCCAAGGGAAGATAAATCAGTTATACAAGATAAAAAGGAAACAAGTTATATAAAGGATATACAAGTAAAAGAAGATATTTCACACGTTAGATTATTTGAATGTAAAATAGATAACTGTAATTTTATAAATATTTATGTTATTTGTGTTTTACTTTAGATAAATGGAAATGTATCGCAAGCATTGGTCGAAAAATACAGACCTAAATCTATGAAACAAATTTTGGGTCAACAGGGAGATAAAAGTAATGCTAAGAAATTACATAATTGGTTATTGAATTGGCATAAAAATCAAAGTGGCCAAGTTAAACACGCTAAACCTAGTAAGATTTTAAATCTTATGCAGAATTTTAATTAGATAAACAAAAATTATTTAATCAATTTTATTTAAATCAGGTCCTTGGGCAAAAAATGATGATGGAGCTTTCTTCAAAGCTGCATTATTATCAGGTCCTCCTGGAATTGGAAAAACAACAACTGCTCAAGTTGTTTGCAATGAATTAGGTTTTGATCTAGTAGAGTTCAATGCTTCAGACACAAGAAGCAAGAAACTTTTAAAAGAAGAAGTATCAGACCTTCTATCTAATACTACACTAAAAGATTATTTTACAGGTATGTATTCGTAATCATGCTGGAAGTTGCCAAAATTTATGAAATTTTATTAATCCATTTTAATCATTTTAATGACGAATGGTATCAATAAAATAGATTAATAAAATTTTATTTTATATAATAAGTTAAAAATAAATTTAAACAGCGTTAATGCTCAATATAAAAAATTGATTTTCTTTATTGAAAGGAATACATTTATAGAGTCATTATTGTATAATAAATACAAATATTGGGTTGCATTCATAAAATTATTTTAAAGGTACAATTTATTTAAATGTTAAAGAAATTGTACTTATCTTTAAGTTGTTGTATATTACAGATAGCAAAAGTAAGCCCAACTCGAACCACGTTTTGTTAATGGATGAGGTTGACGGAATGGCTGGTAATGAAGATCGTGGCGGTCTACAAGAACTAATTAATTTAATCAAATCTACTGATATTCCTATTATTTGTATATGCAATGATCGAAATAATCCTAAAATGAGGACGCTTTCTAATTACACATATGATCTTCGATTTTCAAAACCGAGATTAGAACAAATTAGGGTAAAAAAAATATTAAATTGAATTAATCGCTAAATTCGTTGTTCAGAATATATTTTTAATTGAATATAATTTTTTATACAGGGAGCCATGAAAACTATTTGCTTTAAAGAACATATTAATATATCAACAGAAGATCTTGATCGTTTAATTGAATCAACTAATCAAGACATTCGACAAGTTATAAATCATTTAGCACTATTTGTTGATAAAACAGCTTCTCAAGAAAAATCTCAGAAGAAACATATAAATAAAGATCTCAAATTAGGCCCTTGGGATGTTGTGAGAATGGTATTTTCTGCTGACGAACATAAGCACATGAATATACATGATAAAAGTGATTTATTTTTCCATGATTACAGCATTGCACCATTATTTGTACAAGAAAATTATTTACTGGTCACACCTCAGGTGTCAAAGTACGTAAAAGAAATATAAATAATTATACACTTTTTTTTAAGTAGAATCGTATTTTTAAGCAGTAAGCAGTTAATTCTTGGTTTGCATATAATATTACTATAAGCGGAATTGTAGTAATTAACAATGTAAGCAGAGATTATTTTATATTGCGATTAAAAATTCGTTAATTTGCAAATTGTTTAATTTAAAAATCTGAAAATTTCTAAATTTCAGAATTATTATATTATATTATTCTCATTAATCGCTGCTTTTAAATATATGTATAATTTTCTCGAAGTATATTTTACATAATAATTTTGAAGGATACAATTTAGGAAATTTTTGAACACATCATATTGTTTATGCTCAAGTGCACATAAATTTTATTTATTGTCATTTTCTTTTGTATTTATGCAGAAATAAAGTGTTAGAACGAGTTGCAGAATGCGCTGAAAGTTTAGCTATTGGAGATATTGTTGACAAATCTATAAGAAGTAACAATGCATGGTCCCTTTTACCAGTACAAGCTTGTTTCTCTTCTGTTATACCTGGAACAGTAATGTCTGGTCGTATTAGTGGTCAAATCAATTTTCCAGCTTGGCTTGGCCGTAACTCTAAAGCTGGTAAATTTAATCGGTAATGATACAATCAGTGTTATTGTTCTATTATTCGTTTGCTTTATGAGTGAAATTATTAACAATATGATTTACAGGTTGATGCAGGAAATAACTGTCCATATGCGTTTGACTACTGGTGCGAGTAAGGAAGCTATAAATTTAGATTATGTCAAACCTCTCAGAAATGCTATCGTTAGGCCTTTAGCAACTGCTGATGTAGATACATCAATAAACGTCATGAATCATTATCATTTATTAAGGTTAATTTTCTATTGAAATTTATAACTTTGTGAAAATACTAAGTATTAAGTGTTTATATCTATATTGTTAATAGGGAAGACTTGGATTCTTTAATAGAAATTTCTTTATGGCCTGGTGATAGAGATCCAATGCAAGTTATAGATAGTAAGGTACGCTACAAATCTAGATTAGTTTTTTGCAAATTAGCATGGTGCTGTGAGATATTGCAAGCAGTTTGCATATCTCTATTTTTCCGCTATTAATGATTAAAAGACCATTATTTTAGTAGTATTAATTGTTTATTTTATTATAAACATTTATTTCAATTTAATTTAGTCATGAATGATTAAATATGAAAAACGTAAAATAATGCAGTAAAAATTATGTTGCAGATAAAAACAGCTTTTACAAAGGCCTATAATAAAAATTGTGTAGCTGTGCCATATATAGTAAGTGGAACATCAAAAAAGAAAGCAGCATCAAATTTGCAAGATGAGGGTTCTTTAGAGGCAGAAGAAGAAGAAGCAGAAGGGGAAAATTCTGATGAAGGTGATGATTCTGTCGAAACAGATAAGATGATTAAGGTAACTGAGCAATTTCTTTACTATGAAATTACATATTCATAGAAATGTACGTTTTTTAATCGATTAAATTGCACTTTTAGGCAAAGAAACCGGTCGCAAGTAAGAAAACAGAATCAAAGGATAAAAGTACTAACAGTAAGCCTAGTAAACGTGGAAGAGGAAGAGGGAAAGGGAAGTAATACAAATCTCAGTGGAATGTGAATTTTATTTAAAAAATAATGCAGTATTTCAAAATGTGCTTATTTCACATTGAATTCGTGTCACTTATAAATTTGACTCGTTAATTGTGTATAAAATGAATTTCCTTGATATGTTCCGCGCGTAATGAATTTTACACATATTTTTCTTTCGAGTAGAAACTTTCAAACAAAATTATTTCTACTTAATAGCTTCAGTTGTTTCAGTCGTTTCAACAACTGCAAGTTCTGATCTAGTTTGTACACATTCTGAAAATAAGTAAAATTAAAATAAAATTGAATGTTTAATGATTAGCATGTAATATATCATAAGCGTAGGAACAGACTGTTATGTTTTTATACTAAATATTATTTAATTATACAATTGTACATTTACAGAATAATAGAAATTTGTATTTTATCGTAAATACATATACATACGTTTTGCTCTAGATTTCCATCCAATGTATTCATCAGTTTTTTTGTTCTCCTCTGTGAGCCAATCGGTTAGCGGCTTAAAGTATTCCAACAAACCAGCAGAATCCATATTTCTTTGACCTGTGATCTTTTCCATTGCATCTGGCCAAGGTTTAGAGGAACCGAGTTCTAACATAGATCTATATTGCAATGATAAATTTCCAATAAACTTTAACATTCCCCGATAAATCACTTATATAAAAATAAGAATAGAATATCTTACTTTAACAGGTTTCCTGCGGCTTTATTATTATAAATATCACATTGATGCAATGGTTTCGAGTCTGGATTCTGTGGATCGTATTGTTTTGCTTCTATGCAAAGTGCTTTATGGAATTGGAATTGCACGACGAAACTAACGTAATACCTTATGTATTCTACATCTGCTATTATATGATACTTCGCACCGGGATCAAAGTCGTCTTCTGATCGATCTACTGGTGGTTCGATACCTTGGAAAGCTTCTGCAAGATCCCACCTAAAAATTGAAAAATCAAGGTAATATGCAAGTTCCCTGACCCAGTACAGATTCATAAAATTCCAGAATTTTATAGGCAATTATATTTTAAACAAAAAGATTGTATAAATACAGGTCAAAAAATAAACATTGTAAACTATACAATTTTGGGATCTAGGGACCGCGGAGTTTTGAAATGTCAGAGTTGTAAGTGTTTGGAATGTAGGAATTTTGAGACTGTAGAATTTTTGAATTTTGGTATTTTTGGGACCCTACAACTTTGGGAGTTTTAATTTTTAAGATTTTTTAACTTTAGCACTATAGAATTTTTTAATTTTGTAGGTCTGGGATTTTAAAATTGTAGAGCTTTGAAACTTTGGGCTTTTGAGGTATGGAACTTGTGGGCTTAGGAATTTAGGAACTTTAATACATAGGCACTTCGAATTTTTAGAATTTTGTAAAATAATCCATTACAAGCTGCTTGGTCATAAAAAATAATCATTTTCTAAACAAGCTCTTAGAATACAAAAGTTTTCGAACAAAGGAGTCTTGCTATATATATAATTGTTAATTTTGATTCATATGAAAAACTAAATTCAGGTATTTAAAGTGCAAATGATTCTAGTTACAGAAGTTTTTATAATATTTTTTATAATTCTTTAACAATCCAATTATGTTTTTATTATTTCTTTTACTTAATTTACTACTGTTTAATATTATTTACTAACCAGTTACAATTGTAGTTATCTGGAGTAACTTTTCCTTGGAATACGTTCCAACGCCATTTGTCCATCATATATGCAAATGGTAAAAAGACTATTTTATCTAGTCCTTTGAGATATAGGTGATTGATGTTGGCTTCTCTGTCAGTCGAATCATCATCTAATAAACTGAAAAATTCATTTTTTTTCATTTGATGGCATTTATACACAGAAACTGGTATAGAAACAAACGTTTTTCCAAAATATAGTAAAATTCTGTATTTTTGGAATATTCCGATGTACGTTTTGAATGTTTAAGATGAAGATTAAGAAATATATTCACTGTTACATTTTTAATTTAACTTTTCCGAAAATTACATTTTTTTTCATAAAAAGATATACAGATGCCACAAACTACATGGAGCAAAGAATTAAATTGTTTGACTGAAATACAATGATCCAATGATATAAGGATCCTTATACTTGTAAATAAGGTATAAATTATATGTATTAGGAAATGTGTTTACTTTTATTTTAAGAAGCTATAACCATTAACAATGATTAAATTCAATTTTGGTATATTTAACTGCTGCATTTATTATTTGGGTAAGTATTGTTTAAATTTAACTACTACATTTACTGTCAAAGAGTAAATCATATTTAAAAGAAAGAAAATTAGTACAGTATCAGTATATAATTTGACACTTAATGCAGGTAATATTAAGGAAACCTTGCAAATATTACTTTTTGAACATACCTTATGATTAAAAGTGTTGCACAGTAATAAATACAACAACAATGTAAAATGTAATATGATTAAGTACAACAATGCAAAATGTAAAACCGTTAAATACAACAATCTTAAGTAACAGTGTTAAATAACGATTCAAATTGCAAAAGTTTAAAAATTTCCAATTATTTTTATACTTTGTAAAGTATTGTTCAAACTTCTTAGAATTAACTTATATGATTTATAGTCTGTCCATTACTAAAATCCTTACATTCATGATTTTGTTTCCTTCATAAAAATTCATAAAATGATATGAACTTTATACAGATGCTTCATCTTACTTGATCTTTTTCAGGTGACTTGGGGTTGATGCACTGAGTGCTATGACATCACCGACAGCCTCGTGGAATCCAGGATTCGCACCCTCCTTGAAAACGGTAGGTTGATTTTTGTATTGTAAGTAATATTCTATGTGACCCATCTCATGGTGTGCGGTCAAGAGATCTTCCATATTGATCCGTGTACACTGTTTGATCCTGAAATCTTTGCCGTCGTAAAAGTCCCAAGCGCTCGCATGGCAGATCAGTTCACGATCTTTCGGTTTCTCCAAAATTGAGCGTTCCCAGAACAAGTCCGGCATTGCGGTAAGGTTTATCGAGGTGAAGAAATCTTCAGCAACACGGAAGATCGTTGTGGCATTGTATCCTAAGTAATCGTGAGTAATTTCGTATAAAAGTGTTTAATTATTTGGAGATTTGTCTTTCTCTCCGATTTTGATACCCTTCATAGTATCATGCGTTACAAAATGTAAAATGTTTCATTTATCTTACGGAAACTGGCATATTTTAATTTGTCACGTGAAAAAGCATATTTTATCAGAAAATTAACTTTCAAAGATTTATTAAATAAAAATTGAATTGCTTTTTCGTTAAAATCGTTTTAGATTTAGAAATAGGCTGCGATTAGATGGGAAATCAATTGAAAGATGGGAATAAAAAAATTATGTCATTTTGTAAAATACTGCATTCTGCTCATAAAAAGTGTTTGTATGAAAGCCAATGTCAGGAAATGTGGATAAAATATTACTACATATGTAGTTCTTATAAACAACAAATTTGTATGTTTTGTCAATAAATAATATTTTGACAAGCAAAGAGTTATTTTATCGTGTTACTTATGTTTGTACCATATCAATTATATGGTACAATAGAATAGTACTAAATCATATTATATTTCGCGATAGATACATACTACTAAAATATGTTTGTTATCGTACCGAAAAAATACAATATGCTATTTTTCGTTACTAAATATAAAAATACTCTACATTTTGAGATCAAAATAGAAATAAGCAGGTCTCTCATGGTTATAAAGTTCAAAGTATTAGACCTTGTCCCAAAAATTAAGTGTGTTATTTTGCGAGACAAAATATATTGTTAAAAGCTACATCTTAATTAATTTTATCCTACATACATAATTGTTGCTCGACTTTAGTTTTTTGAATATGTGGAACCGTATTCACGATTTTTATGTTAATATGAGGTAAATTTGATTAAAATTTAGTGTAACATGTAATTAAGAATTACTAGAAACCCATCATGTATAAGCAAAATTTACTTAGGATATTCACTTTGATAACATATTTGACTATCGAAATCTGTAGTCTTCTTGTAAATAATTGTTACACTGAAAATATATTTTTGCATATTTTTGAAACTATAGTCTAATGGTGGTGACATATAATATGGAAAAATTTGTTTAGGATAATAAAATGAAAACATATTTCAAGAGCATGCACTAAAATGAATTTCTTCCAAGGTAACATTTGACATAGCGCTACCAATATTGATGTTCTTTACTTATTGTTTATTTTTTATTTCTCAATACAACACAATGCCTATCGATTTAATACATTGCGATTGAATGTGTATTTATGCGATCTATTATGATTTAATGCGTGACGATCTAATGCCTACACATGTATATAATGCGTTGTTATAAAATATGCGGTGATCTGACCCGTTACTATACAACGCACTATTATATAGCGCGTGATAATTAAACGTTCAGCATCTAACGAAGTATTTGTGATTGCATTTGTAAATCAGAAAAAAACGGATCAGTCTTTGATTTGCAATTATTTTCATGGATTTTCGTTATGTTGATCCTAAGAGCGCCATTAATGTGCATAAAAGTCCGTATGAAGAGGAACTCATTCAACCGGCAATGTAAAGCATACGAACATAACGAGAGTCTAGTGTACCTTGGCCCAATTGTGTGGGATACTCTGCATATGGTTTAAAATAGAACCAAACCTTGATTGATCATGGCGTTAGTGACATCTGGCAGTTGTTTTCCTGGATAAGGAATTGTAAAATCTGCGATATTACTCCAAGCTTGTGCCCACATATTGCCTAATAAATGTGCTGGAATAGGACCATCCTTTGAAACGACGTCTTCTCCATACTTTTTGCGAAGTTCTCGTCGAACGTACGCATGTATTTGCAAATAGAGGGGTTTCAATTGTTCCCAGAGTACATCTATAAATGTATTTAATTATAAATTAATAGTTAAATTTATGAATCTTTATGTAGAAATAAGGTGATGACTGTAGAAGAAGATTGTATACAGGATATTCCGGAAAGACTGTTAAATATTTATATAATACACGGGATACACTATGTTGGGTGAAAAAAGTTTTAGTAAACATAAATCAAAAGTTAATCGTTTTTAGTGCATAAACATTTTTGTATCTAAGCTTTATGATTGACTCACTGATTTCTATCATTGCATACAGTATTCACATCATTATTTATAATCCGTGTTCTGAATGGCTTTGTTTTATTGCCATGCATATTCCATGATAAAAGATTTCATTCATAATCAGATGTCATTTGATGATTGTGAATCTATTATAAATACGCTGAAAATGTCAGCATACTATTCTAATGAAAAAATGGCATGTTTGCATTTAATGCATACTCGAGTCAATGAAAATGCTTTAGTTGTATAACATCTTTAACAATATCGTGAAAAACTTTTCTAATTGGAAGGTTCCCTCTCATGCGCTGTTTCAAAATCATCACTGTTTTTGTGAATTAGGTTCTTTAGAACAAGTCATTGAAACTCTGGCACACCTAGATTTGTATCTGTGTCCGATAAATCGCACTTTAAGAATTAAAAAAAAAACATCTCGAAGTAGTGTAAGAAGAGTATATGATGTCATAAAAATCGGTATTGTTCTTATTTGGAGAACACTTCATGAGTAGTTAATCTATTTATACCATATCCAACGAAAGTAAACACTCGCTCCAACTGAGCAATCAAGCAAGAATAGAATTTCCATAATGGTTATTCATAAAATGTATTTCAAATTCGAATTTTATATGTTGCATTTTACTTATTGGTGAAGTTGCATTTGTGTAAAATGAAATTACAAAATTCCATAATGTTCACATATGGGCAGAAAAAAATTCTGACGCATTTATTCAAATAAATTACTAACATTGGTTTTTATTATATATTTAAATGGTTATAGTGAGAGATCATCTTATTTGTTTTCCCATATGCAATTTCGAAAAAGAATGTCAAACATAACGCCAACATATAGAAATGTTTATATTACAGAAACAATTGACTTCCTGACCTATATATGTTTACAAAGTACAGTGTATCCTCTATATTACTTGCATATAAAATGTCATCTTTTTATCTTTTCTATTATACAATTTATTTTGTAGTAAGGAGATTGTGTAGTGATCAGTCAAGTATTCGAAACCAATGATAATGTTATTTTTATGCAGGTGTTCAAATCTCCACTGATCTATTTCAATTTGTTTTTAAATTATATATTTATATTCATAAACTATAAACATATTTCACATTACACTATAATAAGTTCACGGTTGATACTTTCACTAAGGACATGCAAATTCTACAAGAAATAAACAAAATATTAGAAAAGGAAAAAACATTATTGTAATATTTATGACTTTAACAATTTTTTTACAATTTCTAGTAAATTACAGTTGTATGCCACAGTTTTATAGAAGCATTTAAAATAAGCACTGCATATACATTTTGCAAAGCTTACCTTTAGTTACATTTTATAATACCTGTTATCAGATAGAGTGTATGGAAAGCAGTATTCAATACAAAAAAGGCATCAACATGAATTTTTGTTTTGTATCTTTAAAAAGTGTTATCTGTAAACTTATTACAATGCATTATATGAAAATAAATAATAAAATAAATAAAGATTTGGACTCTCACACGAAGACTAATCTTGTTGAAGTTTTCTAACTCCTGTTTAAATATTTCATAGTGACTTTTTTTACAATTTTACTTTAGAATAGAAGAAATAAATTCTATTAAAAATTTAATATTAAGTATTATTTAAACCATTCATTGCCTACATCTAAAACAAACATGTCATTTTGTAACAGTATGATGTATAAAATTTACAAGTGCTAATGAAAATGAGAGAGACACTTGGAATGGTTTTATTGTATAAAAGTGTCTGTAATAAAAAATATCCTTTTTCGACAAGTCATTAATACAACATATCTAAAACAAGTATTCATTATTATTTTGCTCAATTCCCTGGAACCAATATTTAAGGTAATCCTGCTCAGTTCAGTGGTAAATTTTTTTGAAGATTTTGGTACTAAAAGTAATAGGACTGAAAAACTTCAGATATTTTATAAAAATTTGTCTATAATGGTGTTCTAAAATGGTCTCAAATCTGTTGACCAAATAATGAACTTCAAAATAACAGATTCATTGTGGTGGACAGAAACAGCAAAACTTTATATCGTCATTAATCTACGTGTTCCATATTACTATAAAGCAATATATTTGTTGCTTGTAATTTACACTTCGTACTTAGTAGTACAAATTCCAGCATTTTAGAGTCATAGAAAGTACATTTAATACTGTACCATAGTTATCAAATCAAAGTACTTGTGTCCTGTATCGTGAAAAATTTGTCTTAATAAAGAAAAGAAGTTTAAAGGAAAGTATAAAAAAATTAAATGAAAGCTCATTTAAGAAAGTGAAGACAATCTGGTCTGTCTTGTCGATAAAAGATTTCTGTGCCAAGTCTATATTTGAAATTTAATCATAATAGAATATTAATTATTTTTTGTTCATAACATATTATTATACAAAAATGTCTATTTGTTACGCTAAATATCAAATGTATTAGCAGAATATTCATTTAAAAGTGCTAACTTATACATCTTAATTGTTAAACAATTTGACGCTTAAATATAAAATCAGTCTCGTATTGAGTGAATTTTACCAAACAGAAGATGTTATTTGATACCATTATTATCTGGCTAGTTGAACAGTCTAATTATTAAAAATTTTATTATATTACTTACCAATTTGCTCAGGGAAGTCATCAGCTTCATAATCTTTCATCCAGTAGGCTGCGTTGTCAGTGAAATTATTCAACGTAGCAGCCATATTACTCAATTCTACATATCTTGTGTACAATGATTTGATTTTTTCACCGGTTGCTTTTCTCCATTCTACCCAAACATATTTCAGTACTTCGGGGTCACGGCTTTTCATTAAAATTTCCGTAAGTTCTGGCTCGAGAGCGAGATCACATTTGGTTCGATTTGTATAATCACAGATTTTCGCGGTGGCGTATATGTTTTCCATGTCACTTATAATTTTTTCGTACTCTTGGAACAACTGTAATAAATTTCAAGCATGTATAAAAATAAAAAATATACATACATGAACAAAATTTCAAATTTTGCAAAGTATTCATTTTTAGAAAATTATTGTGAAATTTTACTTTCAGTGAATGCAAGATTACTTTTAAATTTGGGTCGAAATATTCATGGATTTCAGTGAAAAAATATGTTGTTAAGATTATGATTATGAACAATTTTTTCTTATGTTATATAAAATGTTTGTTTTAGTTCAAAGAATTATTATATTAGAAAAATATTATTTTCATAACTTTCGAAATAGTAATGGTAAATTGTTGTATTGTGGCCATAATATTTAACTGCATGTTTTAAACCATCCATCAGAATAAATATGTCGTAGGTAATTGTTTAAAATGTGTGCAATGTATACAAAATGTACATTTTCTACAAGGGAGATATAATATTTGTTTTATGCAAAACACAATTACGCTAAAGAATGAAAGTGAATGTATCATTGACATTCAATATTTCCTTTGATAGTTTTATACGTATCCTGTATATGATATTAAACACACTTTTGTGCAAGATTTGAAAAATTTAAAACAGACTATTCTATACCTATATAGAAAAAATTTCGTGATAGGATAATCAGTGATAGGATAACTATTTTACAAGTTCGGAAAAAATTATTACATCTTCAGGAAGTGCTGCGGTGCCCAGTACGCTGAGTTTCGAGAATAGTCTTTTGGTGTTTTCATCCTTGAGACCCCTCCAAGGGAACTTGATCACATCCTGCCAGATAGATTTAGTGACTCGTGCCGCTTCGGAGGACACATTCAACTTTTTCGCCAAGTTTTCTTGGGTCAAGTTCGACGCATATTCCCAATCTGCCAATGTTTGCTTGTTATTCCATTCCGCGTATGTTTTATCTACCCGTTCCAGGAATTCATTAGCTAAATCCAATTGCTCGTCGGATGATTTTGTAGCGTTGGATCCATTATCCTGAGGTGTGGGATTTCCGAACGCGAGCGTTACAAGGGCTGCGACCAGCAATCTATGTACAAATATAACGCAAATAGTGACGTAATATTTTTAGTATTATTGCGTAAATTTTGTTTGACAATTTTTTTAGTTTCTATAGTTTGAAATATTTTCCAAATTACCAATCTTACTGCTTCATCTTCTGAAACTCTAACCCTTTGCGATCGTATTTATGCACTTAACTGTTTTCGATATTTAGTATTTTGAGTCAGCATTATACATATAGGAATTTTACGGATATAATGATTTTTTAAATATAAAATAGATAAATGACCCTTTTAATATTATTACTTGTATTGAACGTTAAATAATTTCCAACAATAATATATAACATAAGCCACAAATAAATACGACTACAAACAATTAAATATAATTAAAAAGGTATAGTTATGAAAGTGAAATAAATTTGATGTAACTTTTTAAGGATCTTTTATTGTGTTTGCTTATACTTATTTTTCTAACGAGTACATAATTCAGAGAATGTCTACCATGAGTTAGAAAGCAGAAAAGAAATTGCAGTTTAAGAAATGAGAGAAATCGTTGTCTGAAATATCCATGAGGATCTGTAGTGAAACTTCTTATTGTCAAAGGCCTTCAATAAACATAAATATTTTATTATACTTTTGACGCGCATCATTTGGTATGTACAAAATACTTCTTTTTCATAACCTGAAGGGCTCTACTATAACCATGTCATAATGATACTAATTTCTTATTATTAAGGTATAAATATTGCATCAAAAATGATCGATGAGATTTAACACATAATTTTGGCCTATTTAACTAAATATACAAATGTAACAATTTTGAATTAAATGAAATTTAATCTACAGAGTAGACGGTTATTTTAAAAGTATTATAATATAATTTCATACTTCATTTCATTTTCGTTTTTTGAATTTTAAGCTGATTTTAGATATTATAGTGTTTTTACATATACTATCGTTCAAAAGTTGAGAAGCAATCATATCTTTTTGTTCGATAAATATTCTTTTATTAATATACTGAAAATGGTTACTTGTAAAAAACGTTTACATTTTGAGTAATTTGTCTAAATAAAATTTTGTTAAATTTTATATTTTAATTTTATGTGTGAACAACCACTGTTGTTTCCTTTTATTTAGTTTAAGAGAAACAGTTAGACGAAGTAATTATATAAAAACGCAATTAATATAATGCACAAAATTTATTTGAAAATTATTAAAAATAAAGATGATTATTTTACTCATGCAAACATTTGATAATAATGAGTTCTATTGTTACTTAAATTGGTTATGTCATGTATACGTATATTCAAGTAAACATAGAAAAGAATGATAAAAGAAAAAATCATTCTACCGATGTAGACGTCAAGCGCACTTTATTCTTTAATGCAACTGAATTTTATTGTCAATCGATCGTTTTCATTATTGTGTGTATAAAAGTACTAATTCAAAAACATTGAAATGACAATATTTTACAAGATATCTAACATTTTATGTAAGACACATCATTTCATTACAAACGGTGTTTAAATGTCTCATAATTACATGCTAAACATTTTCTAATTCGTTTTTTTTTTTTATATTTTTCAATATATGCTTTAGTTCATTTGCAATCGAACAATTTAAATGCATTGATCTTTTTTCTTCTTCTCATTTTAAAAGATAAAGTGAGTTCTTGTTCTTTCGTATTGATTGGCGACTTGAAGAAGCGTACCAAAATGCATCGTTTGAATGATCAATACAAATCAATTAAAGAGTGTAGTGAAAAATATAAAACACGCTTCAGAAAATACTTCGAATGCAGTGGTGGAACATTCGAACATTTATTGTAATGAAATACATTTCTGACATTAAATATCAAATATCTTGTGAAGTATTGACATTTCAATGACTTGGGGTTCATATTTTTATATGCAGGATAAAAAGAATGGATTGCTTTAACAAAAAAATGGGTTGCGTCAAAGAATAAAGTACTATTGCGCTTGACGATGAATTTATATGTAAAATGAATTTATATAAAAAATGTCATATGAAGTTAGGACATATTACACCATGCGATTTTTTCCTTTATCATTTTTTTCGTTTTATTTAGAAAATTTTAATAACCTGTTTCAGTTCGTAGAATCACTCTCTTCAAAATTTTTATTGTAATAAAAAACCATTGCAGATATAACATATCGTTTCATAATTCTGTTTATATGACTGCTTTCAAGCTTTCAAACTACAGTGTAAATGACTCTCTTCTATTAAAAAACTTAAATGTTTAATTTTAATCGAAGCACCGTACTTTTATAAGACTAGGTCATAACTGATCCACTTTCGTTGTTACGGACGTAAAACTTTTTGATATATACGCACTTTATCATACAAATAAAGTATATTTTTCATTGCTCACAATATTCAACACATACATGGAGATTGATTAAAAAATTAGAGGAAATTAAGGGACAATGAAAGGAGAAAACGAGCAAAGAACACACAAGATAGATAAACGACGTACAATACGCCTACAATAATAAAAGGGTTGAATTAAAAGTTAAGTGCTTCTAATGAGCGGCTACATAGTGGTGTAACGTGATAAGAGGAGTGATATAAATCTTGCAGACTTGTTTTAGAGAATTAAAACTATGCACACAAAAATGTATATAACTTCGAGACATGGTATTGCTCGCAGATTTTTAAGCATTTATATAGAAACGAAAAGTAGATAGCTAATACAAAGCGTTATGATGTAAAGTAGAAATAAGAAACAAATTTTTATGCATATAGATTGACAAAACTGTGATGACATTAAAAAATTTCTTTTGTGCTTCTATTCTCTGTGCACGAACCTAAATTGTACATGGAGAACTCTTCTTATATTGCGACGGATGAAGCTGCAGCAAAAATTCATTACTTTTTATTTAAAAAATTTAGCTATTTTTTGCACACTGTAAATATTGGAAAATCATGCTTTTTTGATGTTTAATTGTATTTGCAATGGTCAACTTAAGTAAAACTAATTTTTCATTTAAAAAATCATTGAATATATCATCCTTTTTCTATTTAAAATGTTGTATAATATTTGTCTGTTTAGATAAACAGTTATCATGTAATTCATTACGATATTTTGAAGTTCAACATATGTATAGATAAATTTTTATTAACAAGAACTAACGATAACACTCTAATGATAAAATATACTGCGCTTTTCGTTAAATTAAATCTACATACATAAAGGTCACTAATTTTTAGATTTACAATAAGTCGTAAAAACGAGTTACCGATATTTACTTAAAAACCGATAAAAATGAACTTAAATATTTGTTAAAATAATAGAAAAAACGGTGTTATTATAAAAAAGTATTAATCTTCCGATATGTTGCAATTAGATTTTATCTAACTACATATCGAATTTATCGATTATTTGCTTGTCTCTTGATAGTGTTATATTTTTGTCATGGAATGTTTCATATAACTGATATGACGTTAACGTGATTTACAAATAAACGAGAAGTTTTATTTACCTTATCAATTTACATTTTAATATGTATCTATTGATTATTGTTTTTAGATAAAAATTTGTAAAGTCATATGAAACTGCAATAATTAAAAGATAGAAAAAATTTAATTTTAACACTCGAATAATATCGAGATAGCACAATTTTTAAACTACTTGTTCAAATATTATTTTTCACATATAATAATTTTAAAAAATTGTATCCACAGTAGTTTATGATTTTTTATATCTGAATATTTAAAATTCTAATATGTTTACATTTATTAATAATTTTAATTGTTTTTACTTATTTTTGATTAGAAATACTCATATACGCAGTATATAAATTCTTTGAATATGTATCTCTGCTTATGTGTACGAGATATTATAACGAAATCTGTGTTTCTGACGTATATGATAATGTTGACATAGAAGGCAGAGCTGGGAATATTTGAAACAACTATTAAAACTAACTATTGAACTGGTTTCATTTAAGACGTATCATTACAGTTAATAAATACAAAAGTTAGAACACTGGTCTAGCTTTTGTATATATAGACTTAATTATTGCACTTAAGTCTAATAAGTGCAATAATTTTAATAAAAGACTTTGACTATAAAGTATGTAACCTTTTATATAACATTAATACAACGCAAGCAAAACACTCAAGCATATAAAATAAGTAAAAATGTGTAAATAATTTTCTTTTCAATTATCGGACACAAAATGCTGAAGAGATTACGCTTGCCGGTTTTCTAAGATTTTATTTTTGAAACTGTACGATAATTCATCAAAATGGAATCACTTGGAATATTTCATACTATATATATCCTTTTATAATCCTTCAGTTTTTTAAAAAAAAATTCAAAATAATGTTCTTGTGTTATAATTAAAAGTCACTTTCTATAAATATTTTGCCTGCACTGTACAAATATTGTGATTTTAGGTACAATTATTTTCATTTGGTACAGTTAATATGATAGAATAATAACGTCAACGTGATAGGTAACTGTACCTAATATAATATGCGCAATGTTTCAGTAAACAAACAGCAATATCTGTGCAAAATATTTCGGTATGTACAAAGACGTGAACAAAAATATTAACGTTTGAGCTTCAATTGAAAACGAGTTGTTGAAATCGAAGCATTATTATATTTCATACTAAACAATTTTTAAGAAGTAAGTTAAATAGTTAATTTTTTTAATAAGGGTAGAGTTATAAAGTTTCTGCATGATTCATTACTAAACGTGTTTGTTTACATTATTTTTTACATCTATTGTTTTTTCATAAGATAATTAATATTTTCCTGTTAAAATACGTATGTAGTATATATGTGAGTTAACGTAATATACAATGTAGAACGTACTTCATATTGAGTACATGTTCCTTGTTAAAATTACATAGAATTATATTTTTATCATCCTAAGTACATTATAAATAATGTCATATAAGATGATTTTAAAAAAGATGCAGACATTTGTTTATTTCTCTCATTTATTTATTAAAATATTTATTTTCCTAGCAAAAATGAAATCTTATTTTGCAAT